TTTGTCCGTTCATTTCCGTTTTTATAGCCAAATGCCAATTAAGCCTTGCTAATGGTTACCATAAATTATTTATGTAAATTAAATTTACATGTATTCGATGCACGCTGTGAGAACCTTTTATGTCGCGTGTCTCTTGGTCTCAGTTCAGCGAACTGCAGAAAATTTTTACAAGTATTTTTTTTTCCTGCATTTTTATTTTTTGTTTTCGTTCACATTGCCACATCTTAATTGACAAGCCATTTGCGGTTTCTGTCGTAATTCCAATTGACGACGATTCAAGAACAGTGGTTCATTTTTCGCTTTCATTCCGACCGATTCGACAAAGATGGTGTGGCTCAATTCATGAGATAATATCCTAGGTTTTTTGTATCGGAGCCAAAGGTCTCTGGTACCATTACATAAAATGACGTAAATTCTGAATTATACGTAAAGTGCTTGAACTGTCTTCATTTTTGGCCTTAAATAGAGCCTACACATTCACAAAAGGCATAAATACACATTCACAATCACAACCGAAACCATCTGATTATCCGCGATAAATGGCGAGAAAACGGAAAAACCAACAACTACCATGAAAATGTTAACAAAAGCAATAAAAAAAAATAAATAAATGCGTTAAAATTGGGCAAAAATCACGATGTGCACACACAACGAAATTCTTTCGTAGCAACGGGACCGAAAGTAGCGCACAATGAAAAAAATGTTATAAACAGCAAATTGTAAACAGCGTTGAGTGTAAATTGCTGTCATATCTTTGCTTATTCAGTACTATTAAATTCATGTTCTTATTTTTGTCAACCATAAATGTTCGCGCTATTTCATCTTTTTTTTTTCACCACATAAATTAAATGCACCTCTCGCGTTTTTTTTTCTTTTTCTCTTTTTTGTTCAAATCATACTTAATGCTGTAGTCATTAAAAAAAAATTGTTCGTCATATTTTTTTCCGCCAAATCATTGGGCTTTTTCTACTTACTCATCGTCAATGTATGTACGGGATTCTCTTGAATTCAAGTTGAACAACATCAAAAAAATTTGTATTCATATATTTAAATGTGAATAGACACCACGAGTATAACACTTTTTTTTCTCTTTCTCTTTTTGGTTGTTCCTGAATGAACGATTGAATGAATGAACGTTTGTAAGTTTGCGAACGTGAAAACAAAAGTCACGCGAAATCTGAAAAGAATTTCTTTGGTCGGAGAAGTATAAAGGTTCACTACCACTTCCAATGTGTGCGCGGAAACTTATGAGAGCACATTCGATGTTTGATTGCGATTTTGTTCATCAAATAAATAAGAAGCAAAAAAAAGTCGTACTTGAGAAGAGCAGAGCACAGCGGAGTTTCGCTTGGCTGTGTGTACAGAATGTACACTGTAGTCGGTGCGCTGGTGAATTTTTATGTTTGCTGTACGACTGGGACAGGCTTGTTCTCTTGCAAAAAATTTCGTATTTACACACAAACTGCGAACGCGCAAAAACAACCAAACTAAATGTATATATACATAATGGTATATGTATATATGAGGCTACACACCGATGAACGGAAAGCATCGAGAAGGATAGACAAAGAAGAAGAAGAAGTAGAAGAAAAATGTATGTGGAATCGAAGCCCCCAATGTAATACACACAGTACAAGACGTGTACAGTGTACACACATCGCTTTGAATTGCGTTTAGCCCATCCACAATATAGTTATTATTGCGTGTGCGCGTATCGCACACTCTCACTGCTCGTCTTGGCTGCCTCTTTATTTCCATATATTATTTATACTAACTATTTTCATATTACATATATTGTCGATGTGGTGTTGTTGTTGTTGTTGTGTGCCTATGTACGTGTGAAAATGACAAGAACTTAAATAAAAAAACGGTATGGCCCACAATCAGCTACAAATGTACAAGAAGAAAATAGTACAAGCAAATCAAAGAATAAAGATGCGAGAAGAGAGCGAAAAAAAATGGTTCCGATGCGCGAATCAAACGACTTTATAATAAAGAGAGCACGAAAATTAATAAACACTGATATATTTTCATATTTTTTTGTGATGTTGATGTGATTTTTTTTTTCTTCTCTTCTGCTTCGAAAGATGGAGCAAGCAATATGATGTGCGGTTAAATGTATGAAATAACATAAAGTGATCCGCAGATCGTTTGGCTTATCTCATATGTAGTGTATCTCTCTCTCTCTCTCTCTCTTGCCATACATACACCCATTGCGAATAATTCGCGCTCGATTGTGCGATCGTTCTTTTCTGCTACACACTATGTGTACATCGGAATCGGTAATAAACAATTTTCACACATGCAATTCTTCTCTACACACCGTTTATGTAAACTCTGAACAACAAGACAAGAGAAGACGGAAAAAAGAAACAGAGTCAAATGAAAGAGGCAAGATACACCGCGTGAAGAGTTAGAACGAGAGCGAAACACAATGTTCACAAACGGTTTTCGCTTTGTTCGGTCTTCGGTTGATTGCGGGTACGCGGTGGGTCGTGGGTCTCTATCTCATTCATATTTTTTTATCAATATTGTGTCGATTTTTCGCACTCGCATCGCGACGGTGTGTACTCAATTTCCACTCGCTGCAAGATCAGCGGCCAAGTTTCATTTGGCGAAATGTATTGAGATTCATGCACAGCAGCGATCTGAATCTCTATCGCGCGTTCATATCAAAAGCCATTTTTGAATATATCATATGTCATGAGCTGATTCTTTGTTGATGTTTTTTTTTTGTGTTTCGTTCATCTTCTTTGAATCGAAAAAAATTTACATACAGACCACATGAAAACAAGAAATCTCAACACAACAACAACCGAACGACAATAGCACAAAAAAAAGAATAATAATAATATAATAACAACAAATCTACTTTTCTTCTTGATATTTCTCATCTCTTCGCGTTTTTCGTTTTGATTTTCTTGTGTGCCGTTTCGTGCATTGTCTCTTTCGTTGTCTGTTTATTGTTGACGACTTTCATTTATGACTGATTTCGTTGTTTTGTGGTAATTATTTTTAAACATTTGGCTTGTTCTTCACTCGTAGATGAGCAGAAAAATGCAGGATCTTGTCAAAATAGAAAAACACATTCGCTTTCTCTCTCACACTCTCTCGCTCACACTCTGCTCGAAATTCATGCAATCATTTTCGCATTCGGATTTCATATGCGCTTCGGATTTGTTTATTTCATCGAGTATGCTTTTGTGATAATGACACATCGAGGTAACCATAACAAAAAAAAAACAATTCACTTGACTCAAGCAGCAAAAAAACAGATTAGACGGCAAAATAAAAACCGATACATCTATCATTTTTGGTAAATTAGAACATCTGATTCATGTGATTTTGTCACGTTTATTATTTTTTTCGAGGAAAATATTTACGTTTTTTTTTCTGATATTTCATCATGACAATTAACTCTGTGGAAAAAAAAAATTTGCAATTTCACCAACGAAGTTGAACGAACAGTGTTTTTTTTTTCGTAATAATGCACATAGTTTCCATTTATTTTACACATTTGATTGATTTTCAACCACAAAAAAAAGATTATATGATAGTCATAAAATTGATTTACCCAATTATCAAAATTTATCGTAAACACACATTCATTTGATATTACTTTAATTCTCCACACACTTAAACGGGCAATCAAAAGCAGGAGAACGAACGAAATTGAATTAGAAAAAAACTTTCATGACATTTCGTCTCGAGCCGCGTAAATCAACTGATTCCTTCTGCCTTTTGTAAATCTGTATTAATTTTTTCTTTTCTTATTTATATTGCGTATCACGGTTTACAAGTTTTAACATTTCGAAAATGATGTTCTAAGAACAACACGAACATATAAAAAAACATTCACCAAATTGACAAAAAAAAATCGCAACTTTTTTTCTTCTTCTCTTTTTCATATGATTATTATTTTCTTTTTTCTCTCTCTCTTGATCTGTTTACGATTTTTGACGAAGAAGTTTCGCTGTTTACTACTTTATACATTTCACTTCAGCTCTATACTGAATTATTTGACTCTTGAAGCACACTAAACGTGTATAGTTTCATGGTTCGATGGTATTGATTTGAACGATGTCCAATGTATTGGTGTGTTGACATACACATGCACAAAAAAAACACAAATACATCGAAGTAATATCAGGCGATTTTCGGTGTGATACAGACAGTTCGTATGTTTCGTTATTTAACAGTGTAAATATGAAATGAGTACGTGAACGTCAAACTGTAGTACTAGATGCTTGTGTGCATGTATGAATTTTGTTCTACGACAATAAAATGTCAAGTGAGTGTTGATTATGTGTGCGTTTTGTTACGTACAAAGTCGAATTCATAGTCACACTTTTCTGTGATATTATTCATATATATTATGAGCAAAAGCAACGTGACAATGTTTTTCCCGTCCGATTCGATATTCAAGTAGGCTCGGTTTCAGTCACGCATTTTCATTGGTCGATTTTCATCGACCGTTTCAATCATTTCGATAAACAAAACTAGGCAAAACCAAGACTTTTTTTTCATAAATTCCGATACACCTTACAGTCCATTGATTGATATGTATGACATGATGAAATTGGTGCCATGCAGAACAAGAAAGAAAAAGTCCAAGTAACTCAATTTAAATCATTCACGAAGATTTTGGAACATACTCTCATGCTACGAACAAAGTAATATATAGAATAAAACCGATGGTGTTCTAAATAGTTTCACAGGCAAATTAACTCACGCCGTCTCTTTCGAACCGATTCAATGCGCAGTGCGTGCAATGATCGCACCGTAAATGGAATGCGTTTGTCTCTTTTACATATGTACAATTGAATGCAAAGCCGGCACGGATCCGTCAAAAGTCGTATTAAACGTGCAAACGAGACGAAACCATGTAACGAAGAGATTGAAATACAAATGTGACGTGTTTGTTGTTGTTAGTTTGTATTTGTTGTTATTAACTTCGTCCGCTTCGTTTTAAACCGATAAAGAATAGAATGATGTATAAAACGCAATTTGAGCTCCGTTGGCTCAAGTGATTTTATAAAGAATTCTCATAGGGCAGTCTGCTATTTCATTCATTCGTGTACTGTCTTCTCATCGCACTGTGATTTTTTTCGATTTTCAAACAAATCTTGTACAAATACCATTGATAATATGATAAAATACTCGCTAAAATCAACAAATATTCAAATCATTTAATTTAACAATATGGATTTTAACTTCAAAATGTTACACACATTTAGTGGTTTAATCTTTTTGGTAGTTTTAGTTCTGGGTGAGTTTATTTAGGCACATTCAACCGCATTCAACTATGAATTGGACATGAGAAAAATGAATAATTTATTCATAAAATACATTTTGCATGAATCTATCGAATTTTGACAAAACGGGCGATCAATGAGTTCAGTGAACGTGAAATCAAGTGCAAACTTCGAAGTCGTAAATACGAATATACAAAAGACACATCATCAAAAGAACGAAGTTTGATGTGACTGTGACTATAATACGAGTAAAATTATGTGCCCACTTATACTTACGTTCAACATTGAGATTTTTCTGTGATAACCCCAATCAAAAGTCAAATAAGATTATATTAACATGAGTTTCCATATTTGTTCACTTTTGAAAAAGTTTCAATTTTTTTCGCTGAGACCACTTAATAAATTGCCAACAATGCTTATTTTAGTATTTTCTTCTCAAAAATTATAGTTAACACAAAATACCGAACGAAACAAGAGAACTTTTTTCTTTCAGAAAATCTTTAGTTCCAACGTTTTTTTAATGTTAATTGTGATAGTTTTGATGAGTTTCACATTCTGATATAAAAATGTTGTAACTAATTTTCTTCACATCGACCACTTCTGTCACCGATTCAATAAATCAACTACGGAAAAAAATGCAGTAAAATCACATCTAACAACAATCGATGTTGACACAATGTCCTCTACGACTGATTACACTCAGCAAACTGAACAAAGATTTCAAAATTCACTTTCTTCACACATGAATGGCAAATGTTTTGCATTGAACAGAGATCTTAAGTAAATACAAGTGATAATGTTGAAAAAAAAATTCTGTTTCTTATTCTTCAATTTTATAATATTTCGATCAAATTTGTACAACAACAAAAAGTCAAGCGTATCAGAAATGTGATATTTAAATAAACAATCTCGAGAGTGTTGTGATAAAAATGAATTTGGCTAATTTTAATTTTTTATTTTCTCTAGCTGAAGTTGAAACAGCTGTATTTCCGGAAGGCGACCAATACTCATATCAGTTCTCCAACGATGTATTCATAAAAGATTTTAAGAATGGCCGACCGGTTGCTTATCGCTTGGTTGGAACTGTAAATGTGGCCAATATTTTGACTGCCGACGACGATGTAAAATTGCTAAAATTTACATTGGAATCGCCTGAATTGCACGTTCGACCTCATGGATCCGATTCTCAAACGGAGTTCAAGTATCACAAATCACCTCTCGATGGCTATAAAAACAATGATTTTTATGCCGTTTGGAGTGCGGGAAATGTCAGCACTATCTATTACAATTCAAAAGAGAATTTAGCGCTGGTAAATTTAAAGAAATCGATTGTAAGTCTTTTCCATTATAAGACGTCAGAAGGTTCATACACAGAGAATCGTGGCTCTGGACAGTGTGAAGTCACTTACAGAGATACATCTCCAACTGCAATACGTCGCATGAAACAAAATTGTGTGAGTGAAACAAAAGCACAGCACATCATTCGCCCCGAGGAGCCATTGAAAGCAAGTGTTCAAAACCATCGCAGCACCGACTATCAATTCTTCCCCGACGGTTCGATTGAGAAAATTGAGAGCAGAGACTATTTCCAAATTGCATTGGAGGCAAATCGTGAAATCGGTGGCAGCGTTGATTCAAGGGTTGTACTACGCACCGATGGTCATTTAACCAAAACTAGCAAAGCCGATACCAAAACGCCCAAAGAATTTTTGTCACAATTGAACAATTACAAGGGTGAGACGCTCGAAACGAGTCGACAACATCTTGAAGTGCCACTCAATTCAAATATTAAAAAAGCGATCAAAGAGCATGTAGACGATTTGGCTACCTCAAATATTGGAACCGTTCAGTCGGCAAAAGCATTCCTCAACATTTTGCCAATTGCGCGCGTTGCAAAGAAAGAAGAAATCGTTGAATTGCTTCAGTCGAAGAAACTGAATAAAATCAAGGTATTTTGCGATATTCCAAACTTTGAAGACTATTTCTAATTACCGTCCATTTTCAGCCGCAAATTTTGGATATCTTAGGCGCATCTGGCACTGTTGCAGCTCATGATTCCGTTAAGGAGGTAGTTGACTTTCAGGATGAGATGGAATTTGACAATGTTGAACGATATCTACAAGCATTGGCCATTGGTTCTCGACCCAATTCAGAGATAATTCTGGATTTGTTAAAATTAGTCAACGATAAATCAATTGGCGAGAAAGTTAAAATCACAGCTATTCATACTCTCGGTTCGATGGCCAGACGATATGCGGCACAATCAAATGAAAGCTATTCCAGTGATGTTGTGGCTAAAGTTCAGAATTATTTTAATGAGTCGATAGTAACCTGCACTGATATACCATGCTATGTCCAGTACTTGAACGGTATCAACAATTTGCAGTCCATTGGATTCATTGATCAACTGTTCGAGTATGTAAACGATACAGATCGATCAATTTCAGTGGCAGCAATGAAAGCTTTACGTAGTTTTCCGGCTTCAGTTTGGAATGAAAATCACATTCGACAATTCGAGGAGATCTTCTATCAGGTTGAAAAACGTTTTGATTCCAGTGTCCGAACATTGGCTTTGGATATTGTGTTGAATTCGAAATTTTCTGAACCACAACTGAAAAAATTGTTGGCACATTTAAAAGCCAAAGATCGTGCATTCGAAGTGAAAAAATACCTTTTGGAAATGGTTCAAATGTTCAGTTCGGAAAATCAAGAATTGAATGAACAAGTGCAGCGAATTATTAAGAGCGACAGTGAATTGAACAATTATCATATCATCGCACAAAAAGGTATGACAACGGCATTGTCCAGAAAGTATTCGGTGCGATCACCATTCAATGGCACTTTGACCAGTATTCAGGAGATCTTTGGCGGAATTTTAAAACGAGGCACCGTTGACTTGACTATTGATTCACCAAAAGAAAGCTACAGCTATTTTACGGTAGGAACTTTGCAATGAAATCAACTCGGTTTCAAAAATTACTGGATTTTTTCCGAAAATTACTCTTTTTTTGCAGTTGGGATTATATTCCGGTGGATTGACATCATTTGTGAGCAGTAACACAGACACAAATGAGGACAATGAAGAAGTTCCCGAAGAGCCCGCAAATGCTGGCATGGAAATCACTGTTCAAGGTTCATATTTGCGACCGTTGCAATTTTTCAGTGGACAAGGAGAACTCATGGGACACGTATGGAGTGGCACAGCATCGGAACCAACACCTGCCTATCTCGCAAACACACTCCTTCACGATCATCATGAAACACTACAAATACAAAACGGAGCCACGGTTCACATTGATATAGAGAGTGCATTGTCAATTGACTTGAATGGAGCCATACAACTAAGTCTATGGGGACGCAATGCTCAAATTCAAGTTGACAAAAAGTATGGATTTTCAAATGGATCTCTTTTAGAAGCAAAGAGTTTATTCAAAATATTGTTTTTGTTTTCAGTGTCGGTCTTTATATTGCTGGTAAAATTCTAGTGAACGCCGGTTTTGTGACACTCGATTTGAATTTCAATTTGGAAAAAGAGCCAAAACTTAATCTGAACAGCGATGTTGACTTTTCGTCGGAGAATGTTTTGTGCATGCAACTTAGTCAACCGGATGACGTGTTCAGGTGAATACGGCTTATGAAAGCTTGTGTTTTAATAAAGTATGGGGAATTAACTATTTATGTTATTTAATTGCAGATACGAAATGGTGAAAAATCAAATCATACCCGAGATTAAACACCATGTGAAATCGATCAAAAAATTCAAATACAATATTGCTGGAATCACACATTATTTGAATAAGAAAAACAATGAGATGTGCAATAAAATATTCGCCTCTTAAATATATTGATAAAATTATGCAATTAAGATCTGTCAAAAGAGTTTTTCTATGAAATAAACCAAAAGAACTGTTATTTAAAAAGAATGCCATTCATTAATTGAATCATTAAAATAAATCATGATGTGAAAGTATTCTTAAATTGTCTTCTTTATTTCATCCTTTCAAGGATCAATTTTCAGGTCTTTACTTTTAATCGATAATTATTTTTGGTTTTGGAGAGTAGATTGAATTATATGTTGGATTTAATAGATGTTTCCAGATATTGAACAGCGTTTTTACTGCCCGTTGACCACCCTCTGTGCGATATACTTTGTGTGAACTGTCACCGACTCGCATACAACGATTCTTTACAATTTTTTTTTGTTGCTTCACGTCGATCAAAAAACCATTTAAATTAAAATATGTCCCAAATTCAGAAGTACGATAGTCCCACGGGAATGCATGGTGGAAATTATGAAAGCCTTCACCTGTCGACCAGTTGCGTATAACATAGAAAATACAGTTACTATATAACACACGTGTTTAACACATACGCAATTTTCTATTATTGTGTTGATTCAGAATATTTTGCACGAATTACATTTCACTTGTTTGAAATGTTTTAGTATTTATTTTAACGAAAAAACGTGCTTTAATCAATATCAACTCTTGTAGATTGTTCTAAAACATTGATGACTACCTCATGGTTGTATTTTCTACTTCGGGTGTAGCTTCGGGTTGAAGTCTTCGAAGAGCTTAGTTGCGTTCAAAACATTATTAAAAAACGTTACTGATAGATGGTCTGCAGTACGTAATATGTAGTTATCAGTAAGAATTCTCGCAAAGCGTGTTACTTGAAATGTTCGTTACATTATGCCGTTCCATTCATTGATAACTGTGAAACTGAAATAATTGACCAGACAACAATATTTTTCAATTGGATTATTAGTTGCGAATATGATGTTGAACAGATGTGCTCTTAAAAAAAAGTAATACATTTATTGGCTCTATTTGAAACGTGAGCATACTCACGTTATTTATAAAAATATATATATTGACAAAAACGCGTCATCATCTGTGTGTTATCAACGTCTGTATCAAATCAAAATTAAAAATCATTCAACTTCATTGAACAAATAAACATTCAACAAACAATGGCATTATCGGCTAAAACACTGACATTGGATTCAATGAATCCAAATATCATAAAAATGGAATATGTCGTGCGTGGGCCATTGGTAATTCGAGCTGGTGAAATTGAAAAAGAAATTAAACAGGTAAAACCAAATGAATTTTTTGCATATTTTCGGTCAAACAAGAAAAAGCGCAATCATCGGACTGTTTATATTTGGTGCATGTATTATTAAAAACAAATATAATTTGTTTGTTTTGAATTTTACAAATGTGATGTCTCGTCGATTGACTTTTAATTTGAACTGTGTGAAAAATGAGAGTTTCTTTTTTTTGCAAATGCGATTGATTTGTTTTTCAAATGTCCGACATACATAGTCGACAAACTATCGCATGCAACAAAAAACACGGTTCGTTTCAATGATAATTGGAGTGAATAAATTGCATACGTTGTATAATAAAAGTACATTGATATATTTTAAATGATCAATTTCTATAACTCTGTATTCATTTAAGGGTGTTAAAAAGCCATTCAACGAGGTAATTCGCGCTAATATCGGCGACTGTCATTCTATGGGACAACCGTACATCAAATTCCTGCGAGATGTAAGTATCAACATTTGGCATAGACGATTTTAGTCTATTCGACTTATTTTGATTTAACTCACATCATTTTGGTGTAAAAAAACTATATTTACTATATCGTTTAATCTTGAATCATTAAAATGCAAAATCCAACTATCGCCATTTGTTTGATTGTCAATTTCAATCATTTAACCCTTCAAATTATTTCATCATAAACTTTAAGTAAATTGTCAATCGCTTTCCCATTAAAATTATATATGATTAAGCTGATAAAATTTATTGAATAATTAATTTTAAACATCATTTACTCTCTCATAATGGAACCGAATACGCGATAGCATTATCAATTTTTATTACGAACATTTCGAGGCATGTCTCAAAAAATCCGATTGTTAGATGTTCTACTTACAATCATGAATATTAACACAATGATAGGCAATGACGATTCGTGCAAAAATTAAATCAGTGCTGTAGCTCAATCTCAGGGCTATAACAAGTAAAACAGGGAAGTTGTTATAAGGTGTTATTTAAAAAAAGGAAAATATAAGAAAATTGAAAGAATTCCCCCTTGAGTTAGCCTTTTCAAAAAACTTAAGTTTCCTTTTCCATTAATGCTCAACTGAACTTGAATAAATAGTTGATTAATTGAATTGATAAATAAATGAAACGGTGTACTTCTAAATTCCGATTTCTTTCCTTTTTAAGGTATTGGCACTTGTGATTGATCCAACAAATTTCAACGAATCGAAATATCCAGAAGATGCAAAGAAACGCGCACAAGCCATCCTCGATGGATGTGGTGGTAAATCGGTTGGTTCATACTCTGATTCAGCCGGAATCGAAATTATTCGACAGCACGTGGCCGAATACATTCAAAATCGTGATGGTGGTGTTCCAGCTCGATGTGAAGATGTATTCCTGTCTGCCGGTGCTTCGCAATCCATTAAAGCCGTAATGAATTTATTGAATAAAAAAATTAATCGAAAAGTTCCAGGAATTATGGCACCAGTTCCTCAATATCCAATGTACTCGGCCACTATTGCTGAGTTTGGAATGCATCAAATTGGCTACTATTTGAATGAAGAATCAAATTGGAGCCTTGAAATTCCAGAACTGGAGCGTGCGCTTGAAGAATCAAAAAGTGAATGCGCTCCGCGAGCCATTGTTGTCATCAATCCGGGAAATCCAACTGGTCAAGTATTAACTCGTGAAAATATTCAAAACATCATCAAATTCGCGTATAAACATAAGCTATTCATCTTTGCTGATGAAGTGTACCAGTACAATGTATATGACAGCCAATCGACTCACTATTCGTTGAAGAAAGTGCTAATGGAAATGGGCGAACCATACAACACAATGGAATTGGCCAGCTTTATGTCGTGCTCAAAGGGATACATGGGTAAATGTTCCTTCTCGGTTTTCTTGACTTGGCATTTGATGAACTAAGAAAATATTCTATTTTATAGGCGAGTGTGGAATCAGAGGTGGCTATGTCGAATTGATCAATTTAGATGATAGCGTTAAAACTATGTACCAGAAATCGATTTCAGCACAATTGTGTCCAACAACAATTGGACAAGCTGCGATCGATGTCGTTGTTAATCCACCGAAAAAGGGCGAACCATCTTACGATCAATGGTATAAGGAGAAAATGACTGTTTTGAATTCACTAAATGAACGTGCCAAATTTGTTGCCGAAAAATTCAATTCATTCGAAGGGTTTTCATGTAATACCGTTCAAGGTGCAATGTACGCGTTTCCACAATTCAAATTACCACCAAAAGCTATCGAAGCAGCTAGACAAGTTGGACAACAACCAGATGTCTTCTATTCTTTCCAATTGCTTGAAGAAACAGGTAGAATATTCAAGGCTCGATATGATTCTTTGGTTTTAACGCTGAGATAACTTTTTTTTTGTAGGAATTAGCATCATTGCTGGAAGTATATTTGGTCAAAAATCTGGCACCTATCATTTGCGAATGACAATTCTACCACAGATGGATAAACTGAAAGAAGTTTTTATTAAATTTGAAAAATTCCATAAAAATTTCATAGCAAAATATAAATAAACATATTTCTGTTTACAGTCATCAAGTTCAGTTTGCGTCGACTCACAATTCAGTACTATAAAAGATAAACATTTTTTTTTTGTTAAAGTAGTAAATCATCAAATTTATTTAAAAAAAAATAAAATAAATTTGTACATCCTACACACAAAAGGATGTATATAATGCATATTTTGAACAGTCTGGCATACAAAGTGTTTAAAATGATTTAAAATAAAATAATGGTTAGCTTTCATTCTCAGCATCTCGAATTAATGTCATAATACTCATTTGTAGCGTTCTCGACTTTTGTTTGGGCATGTTTCGCATTACTTCGGCCACAAAATTTCCAAAGAAATTGAATTCGTCTTGTTTTACCGCTGGATTTGACACCGGAACACTCGATATCGTCTCAATATTTGTTCCTTGATTTATCAACGTACTTTGTTTGTTGATGTTGATATCATCTGTGACCAGTTCCTCTTCAAACGACGTGAAAAGGTCATTGGATGTCGCATTCACATACGATTCTTCAATTATGTTACTGGACGATATTGTAATATTTTTCCCTGGTTTCATTTCTTCTGTGATGATTTTATACGTTGTTTGTTGCTTTTTTGGCGATAATTTTTCTGCAAGCATCAGCGAAAGAGAAAGAGTTTTAAAAAATAAATTCTTTGACTTTGATGAATGTTAAAACACTCACGTTTTTTGGTGACCGGTTCGCATGTAGTTTCTTCTTCGTATGCGACACTTTCATTTTGCAGTACGATTGTCTCCGATGAAATGTAATGATCATGATCACCACTAATGGTAAGATATTCTTCAACATCAGCCTCCTCTCTGCCAAAAACAACAATATTTCATCACGAGCGTTCACAAAAATGCACAAAAGTCAAATAAACTTACTCAATTTGTTCGTATTTTGTTGAATGTTGGTCATCAATAATCGAATCCAAAAATCTTAGATGTTCATAGTAGCGATACTTTGGTTTAGCGTCTCCGTGTTCGCTGGCTGCCCGCCGAACTTTATGGTATCTATCTCGAATATTTTTCCAGACTTTCGGCAACTTTGCAATTGGAATCAAATGATTTAAGGCGCCATACACCTCTTCCCATTGTTCACGTCGCCTGGTATGTTTTGAACCTTTCTCTTGAACGGCTTGCGGATTGTACAACAACGGTCTTTTTGCCACTTCCGATATCAAAATCTCATTGATATCTAAAATTTAAAACGAAATTGATATTAAAAAATCATCTTGAGTTTTTCAATAAATATACTGTTTACCGTGCACCAAAAATTCATCACTTCCTTCATCCACAACGTCGCTTTCTGTAAAAAGAAACAATTTGTATTAACAACATCAACGCGGTGAGTATAAACAAAATGTTTACCATCTGCATCTTCTTTGATCAAATGTATTGTATTATCGGGGTCTTTTTTCACACGAAATGTTTGATTCAATGAAATATTGTGTTGTTTTCGCAGATGTTTGCTTAGATTGCCCGTCGATGTGGATCGTTGATATTTTTTTATTCTTTGATTACCGAAGCAATGCGTACAGTAGACATGCTTCTTATCAACGGCGTCATTAAGTTTTATTGCACCAAAATGCTTCCAAACACCACTCGACGACTTATCACTGCGATCATTTAAAATTATAAACTCTGGATTAAATTCCGTTATATTCAACGTTATTTCAGGAGCATCCATAAGCTCGTGAATTATCTCATCCATATTCAATTTTTTACTTAATTTCACTAATACAAATATATCCACCAAATTGTACAACGCTTCACACTTTATTGTCTTGAAAACGCGAATTTAAAAAAAATTCACAAATTTCGACTTTTTGACGATGAAAAGCAAACAATCAATAAACAAAACAATAATAAACAAGCCAGTGCACGGCAACGTTTTTGGCTTTAATTATGAGAAGCACGACATCGGTCTTCTTTCGAGCTGCTAAATAGTAAATTTTTTTGCGTTGTCAAATCGATTTTGACGGCTCGATACAGCGCCCCCTGAGGATAATTAAATAGAACCCAGCTGACGTGAGAACTGGGCGCGTTGTCGGCTGAAGCTGTTTGTATTTTTCTGGGGGTTTTTATTCTTCTTCTTTTAAAATATCTCTTCGGATAGACGATTTTTTTTTTTTTTTCAATAAAATACTTGAATTTTTCAATCAAAGCAAAGTGTTGAAATTTTTGAATAAAAACATTTGTGTGAGTATGTTCGATGGTAACACTCAAAAATATAACGTCAATATCAGATGAAATCAGCACTCATACGCACACATATGCAAACCACTCCAAAGCTGATGCTGATGTTTACATTTTGGTCATTTCATTGGTCTCACACATATGACATATCGCTGAGTGAGAAATATAGAGGGAATCAAATCAATCGCGACATTTTCGCTGCGCAAACTTTCGCCTGTTTTGTATGTGCATAGTCGCTCATTTAACCGGTTGATTATACACTTGGTGATAGTAATTATTAAAATAAAAACGTAGATTCCACATCGATTCGGAACAAAAAGGGAAAATTATTCGTGGCAGATTCTTGTTCGAGTATTAATCGGTATGTGCATAAGAATAATCGAAACGAAAGGCTTTTACGTAATTCAAATGATTGAGCAAAAAATGAATATGGGAAATTGTGTGAAAATGAGTTTTTTTTTATGAATCTATGATATTTGGATGAGTGCCAAAAGAATAAGCGGATGCCAACGAGAAAAAAAAAATAGTTTTTTTCGCTACTGTGTTGCAGTGCTGAGAGGACTTTGAGTTTGTTCAAGGTGGAAAGTTGTGAAAGTCAGCATTTTCCAGTCCGTCATTGTCACTGAACATTTCCTAAATAGCAAACGAGACATTAAGAGCGTTTTTCATTTCTGAACTATGAACTTGAATGTAAATCAAAGCAGTGATAGACAGACACGTTCTAGCAAACATAGTGAATTTGTTTTTTTCTTTCATTGAATTCCTTGTTTACATTGAATATAATGAACAATATTTATGTGAGCTGTCGGTGATAATAATTAGATGAGAAAACAAAAATAGAAGAAAATAGAAATTATAAATCAACTGATAACATTGCATTACCATTTTAGTGATATGCATTTTTCTACGCCTGATTACACATTCCTTGTGTTATAAAGAAAGAAATAAACCGAAAACCCTGTGAATTGCCCCATATATATTCACGTTTCATAACATTCATTTCAGCTGATAGCTGGTTGCTTCATTGAGGCACCGACTATCAGTTCATTCATTCAAATTGACGTAAACAAAGTCCACTTGATATTGTCAACTGTAATTGGTGGCTCATGTCAAAGTAATGCAAATATACAACTATTCCCAATTTCTATTGCGAGAAAAAATCGATGAACAAGTACAGAAGAAAAAAAAAAAACAAATTAAATTGCCTGACAGCAGCTCAGCTACAAAGACAGTTGCTCTTTCAGTATACACAGTTTCCCCTTTCAGCCATTGAATTCCTTTTAAAATTCGCACTCAAACAATATTCCACAAATACAAACATGATTTTATTCGTGCCACACAAGCACACCACTTCATTTACACGATAATGTCTTCGCAGCTTGCGCGCGTACACATACATATATACATGTCCACTGTATCCATACAGGCATTCCTAAATAATTCATTTTTTTATCGTTTCTTTTTGCCCATAGATAAAGAGAGCGAGAAAGAGACGACCAACCAGTACAACTGAACGAAGCAATCAACCAAAACTGACAAAAATGATTAGTAGTCGTTGTTTGAATACGGTGTTGAGTAGCAGTGCTCGTAAAAGTAGTCGTCTATCGGCACAAAATCACCATCGTCAATTTAGCAGTTTATTATCAACGACGGTTTCAAAGCCATCTCAATCGTCTGTCGACTGTGAACAAAGTAACAAACGAACAATGGCATCATCAGCTAAAACATTGACATTGGATTCAATAAATCCAAATGTCATTAAAATGGAATATGCCGTACGTGGCCCGTTGGTCACCCGTGCCGGTGAAATTGAAAAGGAAATTAAGCAGGTACGACAATAGAAATTAGCGATCAACATATTTTTCGCCAAAATTTTGATGTGATTTTTTCTTGGGTGGCGTGATCAAAAATAGAACGAACTTAAAAAAGTGTTTGCATTACGTTGTGTATCATTTGGATCGTTCTTCTTCCGTCAAGTCGGTGACTTGGAATATATATATGCAAATCTAATTGTGTTGAATATCATATTGTGACGTAAGATCGACTTTGCGTTTTAAATGTTCGAAAAATGCAAGTTTCTTTCCACTTTGACTTCCTACGATTGATATTCATATATTAAAAATTCATATCACGCGAAAAATATACACACCAACCGTCTGCTGTTTTATATACGTTTGTTTGTTTGTTTTTTTCCTTTTGTTTGCTTTGTTTTGAACGTTTTTTTTTTTGTCGTGCAAAGTTCGTAATAAATGGATATCAACGTGGTTTTCCATTGATACGCAGAAAGAAAAAGTCATGTGGACTACGTGCATTTCGATGATAGAAAAGTAAGTCGTCATCGGTGTGAATAAACTGAAAACATCAATAAAGAATATTGCATGGCACATTGTTGAGTACAAAAGTCCCCTTTAAATTCCACTCGAACCAAATACGCATGTTCAATTCCTCCTCAATTATCTTCACCTTTTCTCTTCAGAACGTGGATAGATTTGTTTTTGCCAAATTTTAGCCGAAAACGTCACATTACAATGTTCTTCTTTTGTAAAAGAAAACAAACGTTTGTTTTGATAGCCACGATTGAATCGAAACGTCAATTGAAATACTTGAAAAATATCACACAAATATCGATCCGTGCATGTTAAATGAGTTGCGACACAAGTGATATATTTCGTTTTGAATAAAAATTCATGCACATGCAAGTGCAATTATTCGACAGAAAACAACGTAAAGGAAAACGTTCAAGAATTCAATTTAGGTGTGTTATACACCGTGTGTTTTTTCCAATGTTAATTTTTTCCGAATCACCAAAGCAAAGCAGCGTGAATAATACATATTATTAGCGAATGGGTCGTATTGTACAAAAATTGACATTGATGAAATAATTCGCTGTGCTTCAAAATTGTATGCTTTCAAATATTATTTCGCCTCCGGGCCATTAATTTCATCCATTAATCCTACATTGAATACATTTTTGTTATATAATTTTTTCTTTGCTTTTATTTTTTTAGGGCGTCAAAAAGCCATTCAACGAAGTGATTCGTGCCAATATTGGTGACTGTCATGCTATGGGACAACCATACATCAAATTCCTACGAGATGTAAGTAATATATCAAAATCGAGTTCCGTTCAATCTATAATCGGTTTGTCGCTGTAAAATCCAGTCGAATTAAATTTGAACTTATATTTGTAACATCTGTTTATATCCAGTTTACACCAAGTATTGGATTCTGACAAGTTTTTTTCTCGCTACATCGTGACATTTAAATAACAAGTGACCACATGCCGCATTTAATTATGAATTCAGAAATAAATGCGAGAATTTAACTGGAATTTTACAAATGGCAATAAAATGTTGCTTCAAAAGCTTCTTTTTACAGTCGACTATTGCTGTTCATTGAGCAACGTTCACTCTCTGCTAAACAGAGTCTGCCGCCAAGTAAATGTAAATTCCAATTGGAGTATATACTTTATACGTGATCACGCGATGTTAATTTGATCTTCTCATTGCTTATGTAATATTCACACTCTGTGTTAATTGTTTATAGAATTTTTCAATTGATTCATATGTAAAACCATTGAATATTGAAAATGTTGCTTTGTAAATTGGAAGATTGTTTACAAAATTCGAAAATGTCCAATTTCAACTCCAGGCGAATTCAATATTTTGCCAAATAAACACTTGAGCCAATGTTCATCGTGAACATGCGCTTGATGGCGTCCTTGTTATTCACTGTGTGCGAATAACTGTTTGGCTGATAATAATTATTAAATAACACAACTTGTTTCAATGAATGGCGATAACATTTATCGATGGGACTCAAATGAAATGTTTGAATTGTAAAATCCTCCAAAATTGCGATAAGATTTGTTCGGCTTTTGTATAATTCAATTTGATTTTACATTGAATGCCGGTTAGGTTTGTACGGTTCAAAGTGATTTTAATAGCAATAATAATCGTTCATGCAGAATAATCGCTTAATAAGATTAATTGTATGATAAGATTAATTTAATCACGTACTCAATTCCATTCTAATAGGTACTGGCTCTTGTGATTGATCCAACAAATTTCAACGAATCGAAATATCCAGAAGATGCAAAGAAACGTGCTCAAGCCATCCTCGATGGATGCGGTGGTAAATCGGTTGGTGCCTACTCCGATTCAGCCGGAATTGAGATTATTCGACACCATGCTGCCGAGTACATTCAGAATCGTGACGGTGGCATCCCTGCACGATGGGAAGATGTTTACTTGTGTGCTGGTGCATCACAATCCATTAAAGCTGTGATGAATTTATTGAATAAAAAAGTCGATGGAAAGAATCCCGGAATTATGGTGCCAATTCCTCAATATCCATTGTATTCGGCAACCATTGCTGAATTTGGAATGCAACAAATTGGCTACTATTTGAATGAAGAGACCAATTGGGGTCTTGACATTCCGGAATTGGAGCGTGCACTTGGCGAAGCGCAAAAAGAGTGTGCACCACGCGCCATTGTTGTCATCAATCCGGGAAATCCAACCGGTCAAGTATTACCACGCGAAAATATTCAAAATATCATCAAATTCGCACACAAACATCACTTATTCGTCTTTGCTGATGAAGTTTATCAAGACAATGTTTATGAAAAGGAATCTACTTTCCATTCATTCAAAAAAGTCTTGATCGAAATGGGCGCACCGTACAACACAATGGAATTGGCCAGCTTTATGTCGTGCTCAAAAGGATATATGGGTAAAATACATTTGACATTATTTGATAAAATGATTTTGACCAAGAAAACATTTTTCTGAATATTTATAGGTGAGTGCGGTATTCGTGGCGGATACGTTGAATTGATCAATTTGGAGCCACAAGTTAGAGCCATGTATCAAAAATCGATTTCAGCACAATTGTGCCCAACCACAGTTGGACAAGCTGCTATCGATGTCGTTGTTAATCCACCGAAAAAGGGCGAACCATCGTACGATCAATGGTATAAGGAGAAAATGACCGTATTGAATTCATTGAAAGAACGTGCAAAACTCGTTGCCGACACATTCAATTCATTCGAAGGATTCTCGTGTAACACGGTGCAAGGTGCTATGTACGCATTTCCACAATTCAAACTGCCACCAAAGGCCATCGAAGCAGCGAAACAAGCTGGACAACAACCAGATGTCTTCTATGCTTTCCAATTGCTTGAAGAAACAGGTACAAAGTGATTGGATTTGTCTTGAAAATCAAATTGAAGTCATTTCACAGCTTCAAATTAACCGAATCATAACTTGGTTATAATAAATGATTTTTGTTTATAGGAATTTGCATTGTTGCTGGAAGCGGATTTGGCCAGAAACCAGGTACATATCATTTCCGAACTACCATCTTGCCGCAAATGGATAAGCTCAAAGATATGTTGAGCAAATTTGAGAAATTCCATCAAAAATTCATGGCGAAATATAAGTAAATGGAAGACAAATCGAACCGATCGGAACCGATATACAAAATTAATATGAAATTATTAAGATGTTGTTACTGATGCTAAAGTGTTAATATTAATATGTATTTCAAACAGTATGCGTTTATTTGAGCGTCACGTTTGAAAAGAGAATTGAAAAATAAAGAAACCGACACATTTGCGGTAAAATTAAGTATTCAAATGAGTTTTTTGAATAACATACTTCTACTCGGTGGATGGCCTTACTTCTACTGAAAAATATTGATTACATAGAGAAAATCATTTTTCTAAAGTTCATGCTTTTATCTTGAATTCTCACCAGGTAAGCAACATCCAAAATATATGTAACTTATGTTTTGTAAAACTTAAAGACATAAGAGCACAAACATTGTTGTCGTTCCATTCAAAAACTCCTATATCAAGTCTAACTGGTGACAATAATTTTTTACACATTCCTGCGGTTTTATGCATTTTGATTCACTCTCCTGGAATATGCCCGATAGAGATACTTCAATGCAAAGTAGATGGGTTCGATGATGCTTATGAAACTGCATCCAAGAAAAAGTGCTCCAGATCCACCGACTGATACTGTTTTCACAAGATGAAAAACAATTCTCAACATTATACATCAAAGAGGGGGAAAAAGACTTACAATAGACTAGCCCAAGAATTGTTTTTGTATTAATCTATAGGCTAGTATCTATAGGTACAATACACACCAATTAAGAAATACGATGCATATTTGACGTCACGTTTTAATCTCCTTTCTTTAACGCTCAGGTTTTCGACAATTAAAACTTCATCGCCCTTCAGAAGTGATCGCGTGAAACGATAATCAATTGAGTTGCACCTTGGATGGCAAGTGCAGTTTTTCTTGACCTCACTCCAATGATTTTTTGATAAGCAAATCCTAAAATTGTGTGAAAGTAAAGCATTTTAAATTTTAATTTTTGTCAACATTTGGAGAATGATTTACATTTCAGTCACGTTACAAATCGGTCCAAGGCCTGAAAGTAAATAAATGTGATGATGATAATTATTTATATTTGTGCTACAAACTGTATGTTGTACCAATTTTGTAAAAGAATGGACGACATCCACACAAATTAAGTGCTGCATTAACGTTACACTCCATTAAGCATAGGTTTTGTGTGTATGAACCAAGTGGATAACTGTAATCGGATGTAGTTTCTGTATCAAATCTACACTTGCGTTTCTCAATTCCAAACATTTTACTACGATCGCTGGTAACTACTTCATCTACGTCTATGGTAAATTCAACGGCAGTCATGGGGCTCAACACACTTTTTGGAGATCTTTTCATATTGAGAATATCGTTCATATCATGGAAATACTATTGAAATAGAAAAGATTAAGCTTTTGGCTCGATGAGCAAAATAAGATCTACATACAACTGTTGCTGTTTTACCAGGATGTATATATGGACTCTCAGTAAAGCATAGCTGATATGCATAACATTTTTCCTCCACCAACGAATCATAAAAATATATATTTTCTCGATCGCTTTGACACAAATACACAAATAGCGGATTAAAAATTAATATACTTTGTTTGAGTTCATTCGAGTCAAGAAACCATGACAAACGTTAAATTTTGTTTTTGTTGACAAAAGTTTTATTCTCACCAGCTAAATATAAAAAAACAAGCGCACTTTCTATCTTTACAAACAACACACAACTTCATTCACACTCACAGTTCCATTTTGTCAATACCTGACATTATCTACTGCCTTGAAGTACTTAAAGAGCGTCGTCATGAGCGAGTAACATATTCCAGCTTCTGTTACAACGGAACGAAATCTATCAGACGGTCCATTGGGATGTTTCAGCTACTGGCATGCAAACAGGATGAAAAATCAAATGAATTATGACTTATTCGAAAAAATTGATAATTCATGAAATATTCGTACATTTATCGCTATTTCCAGCAAATCTTCTCCGCTAAGATTTTTCAACAAATCTGTATTTTCAAATTCATCGATCGAATGCATATTATCCGCATTTAAGGCACCAATTATTTTCAAATAGCGTTGGTAGTCTTTGTGAATTGATCTATCGTCACCGTTCGGCATTCTTTCATGGCGCTCGTAAAACTCATCAATAAAACTTTCATTTACATAATCGGAACAAACCGTGATTGTTGGGTGACTATAGGACCAACTATGATAATTGGTTTCCATACTAAATACAAATGGATCGACTATAAATCGAATTATTTGGTTCACGCAAATCGAAAACGTTAAGTAGTTGAACGAGACCACCAATATTAGCCAACCAATTCTGTTACGAAATGAACATGTTTTTTTAGAAATAGCAACATGTAAATTTGCATTTATTCGAACCTTTCAATTGTAGTATAATTTTCATTAGCCACATGATTGAATCCTTGAACACTTGTCTCCCGAGGAAATCTACTCAAAAGCAAATTCACTTTCAGATTGATTTTTGTAATTCGAGGAACGCATTTAAAAATATTCACAAACATTTTATTAATATTTATTATTGAAAATATCACACCAAAAATCAGTTTTAAACATGTCACCAGGAAAAATAAAATTGAACTAATCACAGAACATTGTTGAAAAAACTCATTTTCAAATCAATAAAAATTTAATCAAATTAAGTCACATGAATGCTAGCATATTCAAGGTGATTTTTTGTATTTCATTTGAAGTTTCAATAAATTAAAATTGTAATTCTACTGTTGGCAAGGAAAACTATTAAATTAGCTAAAGCATTTTATGACTATTTGAATGCAACATCAATCTTTATGAAATAAAAACACCATCTGGTGAACACAAAAGGACAGACATAATGATGAAATATGTTGATCTGATATACAATAGATGGTGATCGTATGAAAATAACGTAAAAGTCATTGAATATTTTAAGTCTAGAGTATAGTTTGTGTCGTTATGAGGGATTCCTGGATTGAACAACACTTTTCTAAAATCTTCGCAAAAACCAAATATAAATTATCTCCACCAAGCTGAGGAATGATGCCGCAAAAAATAAATTAATGATACTTCCGATGGTAACAACGAGATCAAGATTTGTATAAGAGACATTACGAACAAGTTTCGTGGGTTGATTCAATACTTCAATTGTCAGTGACGACACGTTTCTTGATTTTTCATATACACGTTTTTTCCTATTTACATAAAAACTACAAACAAAAAAAGAATGACAACCAACATGAGATTCTATTGAGAGTTCACCAATAGATTTACGTGTGAACTGACACCACTCACCCAACTAAATCAATATTCATCTCAGTACATGTGGAAAGGCATGGTTTGTAAATCATTTGCGCATTTGCTATATATTTCGTAGTATGTTTCTTGATACATTCCATCTGTTTATGATTACAGTATTGATTCGCATCTGTAAATAATGATTAATTTAAATACATTCAAGGAATCAATTAACGGTGATGCTTTACATTCAATCGGTGCAAAGTGTAGTGTACAATTGCACAAATCCAAATCTATTTGAACTCGAGTATAAATCAAGCACGATTGAAAGTTGTACGGAAGTGATGCATTTAGTGGCCAACGTTCGTCTGAGAATCGACATTGTCGCTTTTCAATCGATATATCTTGCACATCTGCTGTATTTACTATTTGAGTAGTCTATAGATTTTTTTTATTTAATATATTTTATGGACATTAAAAATACTGTAAAAGTGAATTACTCGAAATCTCATTTCCACGTCTGAATTGTCATACAGAGTAAAATACCATTTCTTAACACTGCTTGGAAATTCACTTGGACTATGCGCAAAGCCCTATTGGTCAAAATATTAAACCATTTTATTTAATGTTTACCATATGCAGGCGGTCCATGTAGGTATAGCAGGCTAAATACAGTGAATCTAATTTTTTTGATAGACAAAATAACAAGCAAAGTAAGCAGAGAAACTCTCCACCAACATAGGATTCATAAACGAATGGCGTGCGAGTGGAGTGTGTCATGCAAAATTTTGTCTACCAAACATATTAGATTCACTGTATAAATAAAATCTTTATCATGAAAAACAAGTGACGAAACCAAGAACCAACTGATATCAATTTTATGATGAAAGTAGTTAGAAAATAATTTGTCTATGTTTTGTGAATAAACACTCAATAGATGTTGCACAATGTATTTCAATACCGTTTTTTAAAAATGATCAACCGAAGGTTCACAAAATCGACTTTTAACCACAGTTGGTTTCATCACTACCGCAAACTGCTTTTTGCTGTAACAATATTTCTTTACTAAATGAGTACAATAGTACATACATTAAAGTCATATCCTTTCATTCGATGATAGGCAAACGAAAATATTATGCTATTTTCAGAAAAACCGTAAGATAATGGTAATTTACTCCAGTCTATATCACTGAAAAGAAAGTGTTATTGAGCATATTCATTAATTGACCGTGCAGTTTTGCGTGTGAAATATGAAACCCATAAATTTGACACTTATTTAGTTCAACGCTTCTCATTTTTCATATATGAAAAATACATTGTATGCTATATTATATTTATACGTCTACTTATACTGCTTTCAAAATTAAAATAATTCATACTTACTAAAAATAAACTGAGTTTGCCACGAAACACACACCCTCATTATAAAATATTTCTCGTTTGAATATCTCATTGCAATTTTCATAATATTTACCATTAAATTGCACATTGTAAAAAATTTCACTGCAATTTGGAAAGAGCTGAATAGAACAATATTTTGTGTTATTTCTACAATTATTATTTTGAAACACAGAAAAAGAATCAAACACAAACCAATGGCTTTATACTCGAAATATCCACACCACAGGTACTATTCATTTCATTACATGCATCTAGTGATCTTTTAAAACGGTAATAGCTTGGCATATGATACGCATAGTCCATTAATTGTTGGTAGAAATCGGGACTGGAATAATCAAGTGTTAACCTTTTAATTGTAAGTCAACATATCATATTTTCCGATGAATTTACTTTTTTGGCTCCTCAATGTTATGTTCTGCATAATATTTCCGAACGAATTTTTCAATTTCCACCGTACTTGCTCTTTCCTCATTCACATTTTTATCAATGCAAACGGAAATGGCTGGAAATTTATTGTTTCTACTCAACTCAACCGAGTCAAAACTTATAACAATTGCACCGTTCAAATAATCGTTTATTGTGTATATAAAGAGTAAAATCATTAATGTGATTGAAACTATCAAAATAATAATCCAAAATATGCTGCAATTATAAAATATAAAATAAAAACAAAATGTGAGTTACTACAAAGGCAGAGTACATTAGATTATGGCACTTTCTATACCGATCAAATATTGCATATTTGTCACCCAAAAATTGAACTCCATGTAAACTACTGTTATTGGCAAAGTAATTGAACCTGCTTCGAAATTGAGTCGATCCCTTCACAGGAGAACAAAATCGTCGAATATGATTTGTAATTGAATTCATTTTTATCCACGAAACGAAACTCAAATCGGCTTGTGATTGTATATTATATAAGCATGAAGCAAATACGTCCTCAAACAAAAGTGCACACAAAGTTACTGCTGCAGTTCGCTCTGAATGTTTATGCAATTAAAAAATCAATGAAATTATTTTATAAGTGGCATTTTTATGGAAAGTGAACACGTTACGTTTCTTTTTTAAAAATAATGAGGACGCTGATCAACATATAATTTTCAACTCAAATTTTTAATACAATGCGATGCCAATTTATTTATCATGATGCTTATTTTAAGTGATACCATTAGGCACGGGTGTGATCTACCTTGCTGTGCCGATAACACATTATTGTTCATTGGAATTATTGTGGCACAATGTATTCGATTGTTCGGGACTACAGCAAACAATCGAATTCATTGTTTCACACACAAAACAATAATTCCGATCGGAACTATTTGGCTAGAATACCACTACTGGTCAGAAGCTTTAAAACATCGACTATTTTCAATTTTTCAGATTCTATCTAATCATCGATCAAATGAAGGTCTATTTTTTATTAAGAAACTTATTCCAACCAGATATTTTCTAAAATTCAGTAAAAAAACATGTTTCGCTCAATTTTAGAAGTATTGTTTTTTCAATATGAAATTTTGATGAAATTCTTCCCTAAACTTATAATTATTTATAACATTTTATAATTCCAACTATTTTCTTCAATATAAGTCTCATTTTATTTTCGGCATGTTCAGTGTTCAATGAAGAATAATATTGAAAAACACTCAAAATTGTAACTAATTTTTAAAACATTATCAAATGAATATAGCTTTAAAATTTTCATAAAAAATGAATGTTTTTCAAAATACATTTTAGAAATTATTCTCAAACGTATTGCAGCATTCCATGTTACATCTGTCAATATAATGATGTAAAATAATAATGTTTATTCACATTCCATCGAATACGTGAATTATTGTTTTCGATCAGACAATATATTTGGATTTTGTCATCTGGAAAACGTTAGGTGATGATACGAAATGAAAACAATAGAAGTGATTGTTATAGTTATGGTAGTATTTATATACCTATGCACACAAGAGATAAAACCAACAAATTATTATAGGATTCCTATTAAAAAAAAAAATAATTTGTAAGGTTTCCTTATAAAATCGCAATATTTTAATAGGAATCCTAATAAATTGGCGCACCCAAACGTCAAATCCAACTTCACTGTATTGAAACAAAATATGTTTTATTATTTAAAGGTTTCCTTATAAAATGTTCTCATATTATAAGGAAACCTTACAAATTAATATTTTAATAGAAATACTGAAATGATTTGTCAGGTTTATTTCTTGTGTGTGAGATGTACAACAATCACTTCCATTGTTTTCACTTCGTATCATCGCCTAACGTTATCCAGATGACAAAATCCAAATATATTGTCTGTTTTCGATATTGCTTTCGGAATGTTTTTCTTTTTCATTCAAAATTTCTCGTACATCAAAAAATGCCATTTTACGTCAGAACCTATGGTTGTGCGTAATCAGTAAAAAGTTACACGTATCAATAAACAGTAGTATAAATATCAGAATAATTTCAGAAGAGAGATCAAAAGTTTCAATAAGTTCAATCAATTTACATCGAGTCAGAAAAATGATATTTCTTCGATCCCGGGGTGAAGAACTGCCAACGTGGCTTTTACTCGCTTTGTAAGTAGAAAAATGGTTTGACATTTTTCGTTGTTATTCTATTAAAAATTAACTTCTCACCCAGAACAGATGTTTCTTTTTATCTCATCAGAGAATTTATGGACTTGACAAGGAGATAATAGACGATCTCACTATACCAAATAGAAACTTTGGTTTCAAAACAATGAACTACTTCATAAACTTGGTGAATGCGAAAAAGCCTCATTTACAAATGATAAACATTACCGACAAAAACACAGTTCAAAACTACAATAAATGCAACACAGACTACGACTTGCAAATTATATACAGTAATCAAATGGGTCTTGACTCAGGAGTAAACTATGTAACAATAGAATCTCGGATCGTTTATAAATCGAGATGTGTTTACGTTTATGACAGTTTGGGTAGATTCGAATTAAATGAACAACAAAAACAAATAATAGATCTTCGATATCCACAAAATTCTATCTATCTTAACCATCCTTCAACGCGGCAGTTGAGTGGACCAGCAAGTGGACCGTTGTCTATTGCATATGCAACACTTTTTGCTAGTGGCGAAGATCCACGAAGATATCCTCTTCGAATGAATATGTCAAATCCTGACCCAACGGTTGAGTTAAGAAGACATATTTTGAGCATGTTTGAAAGCAACGAATTAACGATTTTCCCGAAGGCCGATTCCGAAGGACCTACTCAATTTAGTTCCCAAATTATGAAGGAGCTCGGTTCACCAAAAGAGCCGTTTTCTGATGCTACAATAAATTATTTCATCCAAATGGTTCGATTACAAAAGAAATTCGATATGATAAACCTTAACAACTATAACAAAGCTTACCAGAAAGCAGACCCAAAGCAGAGAGATATTCAAATATTGTACGGTAACGGCACTTCAAATGGTTATTACATTTGTGTATTTTATGAACCATCTGTCAAGAAAGTGTACGTTTATGATATTTTGTTACCGAATAAACTAAGTCCAAGGAACAAGGAAATTATAAAAGAACGTTATCCAGAGCGCATAGAAATCGTTTTTGCTAAACCAAGCAAAGACCAAAAAGAAAAAACAAAAGAATTGGAAAAAAATGTAGCACAAGGGATATTGTTTGGACGGCTAAGACAAATATTCAAGGATAAAACGGAGGGCAAAGAGATAGCTAGAATATCAAGTGGGCCTATGTCAATTGCATATGCAGCATCACTCATTTATCTTTCGAGCAAGAGACATTTTCTTCCGTGTTATAGACATTTTCGTTCTCGAGAAAGCATTTCTGATCTTCAACTTGATAGAATAAACTTAGATGAACCGATCGGCGACAGCCCATACTATGATTTGAGAAAAAGTATTTTAAATTTGTTTCAATCAAATTTATTATACAGAGAAACGGTACATGGTACATATATATCGAATAAGCCTCCACCAAAGACGAGTTATCATTCGTACAGCAGTTCTTCATCATCATCAAGCTCTGGGCTTCGGCCAATAGATTTTTTGTGGTATTGACACCGGCATCCGCCAGTAATAAATTCTGGATCAATACAATTTAAGATAAAATTTGTATTGATTTTTCAATTTTTGTGAATAAATTTGCACATTGAATTGTCCAAAATATCGGCAATAAATTCCGTGTTCAAGTCACCTGTTCGCTTGTCTCTTACCCTCTTGAATACCGTAATTGTATGTCTTCAATCCAGAACCAATCCAACATTCCAACTCAACGATCCAAAAAGAAATTTTGAGAATGAAACTTAAGCGTGTCTTTTTTTTCATTATTTTTGTTGTTTATTTGGAAAATGACAATATTTCTTTTTTCTTTCAATTCAATCAGTTTAAATAAAATCAGAGGAGAAATGAATTTTTGAGCTTCGCTCATACTTTTCATTGTTAACATAACTTTTACCTATCGCGTAAAAATATCATTTTATTTATTTGTTTAATGTTTTATCTCTATCCACTTAATATTGCAATTCAGTAATTATTTTACAAACAGAAAAATAGAGGTTTTTTCCATGATGGTTTAGCTGTATTCTGTTGCGGATTCTTTTTTTTTTATATTTTCATAATATTTCTTTGTTGTTTTGATTCTCTAAACTATTTCATAATACAAGATACACAGTTTGCATCGCATCTAATACATTGTGTAACCGTACACACATCGAGTCTATACCATATATATATATATTCCTTTGATAAAGTTTTTAATAACTGTTAAAATATCTAAATTCAATGATAATAAGAAAGAAGTGGTGAGAAGAGAAAAAAAAATTCAACAGATTTCCGTTCCACAATAAACAAAAATCAACATTTGGAATGGAAACTTATAAAAAAGGAAATAGTCATCGTTCGATCTCGATTGAGAGTTTGAAATGTCGGTTTTCTTTTAGCGCAACAACAAATCAAATTCCCGGAGATTTTTTGGATGGCATACTAATTATAATCGGAATGATACGTTTCAATTCTATGTCATATCCTGCATAAAGATAAATTACTCTGTTTCATTTCTCAAATTACCATATATCAATTGTCTAACACATTCATTCAGAATACTTCATTTTACCGCGTATAAAAATATATTAAATTTTCTATTAATGTTCTCTCTCTTGTTGATCTTTCCATCAGTGTTTGTTATCGTTTGTGTAAATTAAAATCTTACTTCGATCAATTTGCAAAGAAAAAGTCAACGAAATTTTAATTCACGGAGAATAGCATAATGTGTATGAATTAATTCGAAGAATTTTCGGGTGTATTTACACATTCTCGATAATTAGTTTTTGTTTTGCTTAAAAATCTTTCATTTATTACATCTATTTCACATCATATCGTCACCATCGACCAATTTGTTTAGCAGTATTTTTTTTACGTTTTTATAAATTCGCCATTTAATTAACATTTATGATTTCAATTCATATTTATTCTTCATTTTTTATTTACATTCGACTTTTTCCTATATCTGCAAAAAGACATTTTTTTTTAAATAAAAAAAAACACGATGTTGATATTTTGTTTCTTTTTTCTGTTCGAAATTGTCCTACTTTTAGAATGTTTTCGAGAGGAGGATATATTATGCGCTCTCTCTCGAGTTGTTTTTTTTTTGTTGTTGTCAGATCGCAATTGAAATTGAATCGATGAAAATTGTTTTAAGGTTTTTCTTCGCGAATCGAATTGATATATATATGTATATAGTAAAAATTTGTCTACGTCAGTTGTCAATGTTTTTTTTTTGCAACAAAAAATTTGCTACTACAGCTTTAGATCAACCATTGTTTGCATGCTTCTATTGATTTTACATCATAGATTCACTTATGTTTCCTATTTGAAAATTTTGATTTTCGTTCATAGAAATTGTTTTTTTTTTGTTGTTGTTATTATTTTGGCGAATTTTTTTCTTTTTCACATACGCCACGGATGTTTGTATTTTGTTTGGCTTATCGACCTAACCTAAACCATAAATAATATCAGCAATCCGACTTATCCTCTTCGACCAGTTGTTGTGTGTCTTTACCGGTGTCGGCTGATGGATCTAATTTTCTAGTTTTTAATTGTAGCGTTGGTGATGTTTTATGGGTTATACTACTTGGCGCTAGAATTGCTGATACTGGTTCAGTGAATGGTCCATGACTACTGTTTGAACCCGATATTTTTCCATCTTTTGTTACATCTGTTGGCACTTCATAAATTCCTACACAATTTGAAAAGAGAAAAGTTCATTTGATCGAATGACATGTGAAATGAAATGAATGTGCTGCAAAAGCGCAACTTTTTCTTTACTCACCAGAGCCATTTCCTAATGTGGGATCGACCGTTGTACCCGATTGTACGGCGTCGTACATTGGATTCGAGAAATCTCTCGTTTTATGACTGACTGCTTGTAAATTATATCCTTCCATTGGCGGCACATTTGGATCGAGCGGTCCATTTGTTGCTTGATTAAAGTTTGGCGAATTGAATTCCACATTCGTTCCGTGACGGAATGAAACGCTTTGCGATGGTGATAAGCTGCTCAATCTTGCCATTTTACCACTAAAAATACATGTAAATTGATATGAGTTATCTGTTTAGTGCATTTGAATGAAACAAATGAAAATGTAACTTACAATGGTCTCTTTCGGATGACATACCAAACGCCAGCTCCAGCTAGCGACACTAAAGCGATAACCATGATTGGAACAAAAACAGCTGCAAAGGCACCGCCTCCATGACTGTATGAGCTGCCCATTGAGCGTTCACAATTTGCACCAGCAAAATCTGGTAAGCATACGCACATCAAATCACCGGAGTCATCTTCTTGACACACACCACCATTTTGGCATGGGCAAATTCGTGGTGATGGTCGTGGTCTTTCAGCGGCCGCATCACAAATCACTTCGACGGTACTGCGATGTGACGTCATCGGTGCTGTATTATCTGGACAAGCACATCGTCGGCCACCTGGTACAAGCAAACACAAATGCGAACATCCACTCTTAAAGCATGGATTCTTCAGCGATGTATTGTATCGCATTTCGTGGTAAACTTTAATGCCCGATGGATTCACTAGATTCTTTTGTAATGTAACCGGAACACCACGACCGAATTTATCTTGTCGCACCAATTCACCAGTGTCACGTGTTGCCCAGTAAACATTCGATTCAAAAACATCCAATGCAATTGGATGACGTAGGTTTTCACCTTTTAAAATTGAGGTTCTCAAAGTGCCATCCGGTCGCATTGTTTCGATCGTGTTTAATTTGGTATCGACCCAGTAAATTTGATGATCTTGTGCATAATCGATGGTTATACCGGCTGGATGACGAATGGCATCTGTAATCAATGGTCTTCGCTTCGAGCCATCCATCCATGAGACTTCAATTTTCGGCGCACCACCAGCATCGCCCCAGTACATTCGTCCCAATTGTGGATTCACTGCAATTGATGTTGGTACTTCTAAACCGGCACTCACAAGTGCTCGACGATAACGACCGTCTGTTTTGGCAACAAGTACACGACCACGTGGTTTTGTTCCGGTTCGATCAACTTCAGTCCAATACAAATTATCGGCCACCCAATCAACAGCGACGGCGGTTGGTTTTGAATTTCCTTTCATATTCAAATCCTGTGCGAATCCAATCTTTGCTTGGCCATTTTGCGCATTCACCATATACGATCGTTTGATTGTCTTATCGTAGCTATCGGCCCAGAAGATTATTTGGGTTTCAGTGTTGTAATCCAATGCTTCGATTCGTTTTTCAGACTGTATCACATCGAATTCATCTTGTTTTGTCAAATCTAATGCTCGAATTTCATCTCCATTTGCAAACACCAGCGTTATATCTTCTTTTATTGCACGGCAAACACCTGACAAACCGTCCGATGCACGGAATCCATCGCGACATGAACATGAGTATGTTCCGTTCAGGTTCTTACACATGTGACTGCATGTATGATGTCCGGTTGCACATTCATCAATATCGACACATTTCTTTCGATTATCATCCGATATTATATAGCCGTTGAAGCAATGACAAATGTATCCACCGTCTGTTAAATTTGCACAATGCTGTTCACAACCACCACCAACGTCGGTAGCTCCACAATGCAATGTATGATGACAGCCCAATTCATCGGATTTGTCACCGCTGAACATTGAAAAAAAAAAGATTTCGTTATCATTATTTTATTTGAACTTATTTTGATATTGAAAAATGTCATAAATGAAACTTGCCAGTCATCTGCAAAATCGCACACGTTCTTTCTGTCAATGCATTTCTTATTGGCGCACTTGAATTGATTGATTTGATCGCATGGCTTCTGTTTCGTTGCACACAATGTCATATTGTTCTCATCACTTCCGTCACCGCAATTATCGACACCTTAAAATGAAGAAATTTTGCATTAACACACCAAAATATTCCTATGAAGAAATAATAGGGACATACCGTCGCAAATTTGATATCGTGCAATGCAACGATGATTATCGCATTGGAATCGACGTAATGTATCACAATTGAAATTGGAGCAAACAGATGGCGCTTCATCAGATTGATCGCCACAATCATCCGTACCTATTTTTTAAGGAAGCAAGCAAAAGAGAAGCAAATAGTGAATAAATAGACGAATAAATCAAAGGAAAAGGTTCAGAAAGTTTAACACTGCAACTTACCGTCACAAAGATCAGACATGGCAACGCAGAGATGATTACCACATTGGAATCTAGATTCAGGACAATAACGACCGCCTGGGAATCGAGCTGGACAGTTCGCTTCGTCGCTCATGTCACGGCAATCTCTGTTAAATTAAAATTAAAATTCAGTTTGCCACTTGGAACCACTTGAGCATGTTCAATCTAATTCTTTTTCTATTATTTTTGGCATTTAGTTAATAATAAATATTATTCATTACCTGTCACCATCGCATCGGAAATGAGCAGCAATACAATGACCAGAAGCGCATTGGAACGTTCCATTCTTGCACTGATAGTTTTCACAATTCATTTCATCGCTCGAGTCACCACAATCTTAATTGAATAGAAATGAAAGATAATTGATCAAATGATTCCATGTGCTGAGTACCCAAAAAAGGTCACATACCATCTTCATGATCACAACGCCATCTTGATGATATGCACTTGCCATTTGTACAACGGAATTCAGATTCGGAGCACTCACGATATTTGCCTTTGCACTGAGCTTCGGTTTCATCACTAAAATTTTAAATTTTCATTAATACTTCAAGTTTGCAAATTAATAAATTGGTTAATTTGTTACTTACCTTCCATCACCCTGAAGAGAAAAGTGTGTGTGTGTGTGGAAAAGAAATTAATATTAAAAATTTGAATATTTAAAAAAGGGGAAAAAGTACGATAATAATACTTACGCAATCATCGCTAAAATCGCAAGTCCATTGTCTAAAAGAAATTGCGATAAAGTGGTATTTTTTCATAAATATTCGCATTTTTTGCATAAAATTCAAAATTACTTACTTTGGAATACATCTGTTGTTCGAGCATTTGAAATCAGTCTCACTGTTGCACACCGGACAATTTTCTGGCAATTCATCGCTGTTGTCTCTCTGCAATTCCAATGAAATTATATTTTATTTTTGGGAACATTTTTTTCTTTGGTAACATTCTCATAGATACTTACACAATCATCTTTTCCATCGCAGAATAACCATTTTGGTATGCATCGATAGTTCGACTGACCTGGACACCGTTGCCATCCAGTTGTACAATTTCGTTGGCGACACATGTAAGCCGGTTCATCTGAATCATCACCACCTGCAAACGAGCGATTCAAAGAAGTTCAATTTAAAATACCCGAAGGAAGTGAGATTCAAAAAAATCAATTACAATCATTATCGAAGTCACACATCCACAGTTTAGCAATACAACGACCATTCTTGCAAGTAAATTCTGTTTCTGGATCACATTTTCGGTTTGCTGAAATTCACAAAGAAATCATATTGCGTAAATTATATTCAGTCGGAGAAATTGGTTTTTTAAGTAAAATGTAAAAAAGAGAACTTACTGCAGACATGCGGATCTTCATCGCTACCATCATTACAGTCGGGCTCACCTGGTTTTTTAGGAATAAAAATATCAATAATAAAAGGGGCTTAAAAGTACAATGAAAAAGCCACACTAACCATCACAAGACCAGCTCGACAAAATGCATCGTCCGCTTTGTTTGCACTTGAAATCTGAATCTGGGCAAGGCAAGTTACAGTTTCGTTCATCGCTGTTGAAATAGAAAAACCATATTCGTTTGATTATATTCTTTAAATTGAAAGTTGACATATTTTCACATACCTTCCATCGCCACAATCGTCCGTACCTAGAAAAAAGTCAAGAGCATGGAAAAATGGTTTAGTTTACTCTTTGATAGGGAAAAGTTATGTGAAATCTAAAGCAAAATGGTACTAACCATCACAAATCGTTGCTGAAGGTGTACAATTTGTGTTACCGCATTGGAATGTTCCGGCACGACAATGTCGCGGTGCACATGAGGTTGGTTCATCGCTTCCGTCCTTGCCTAAAATTAAAACACACACATAAAGGTTATTATTAGTAACGTCCGCTGGGATTGCATTTCATATTGAAAACGTACAGTCTTTTTCGCCGTCACATTTCCAGAACCAAGGAATACATTTCTCGTCATCACCACCACAACGATGTTGTCCGGCGGTACAGTTGGCGATGCAAGTTTTTGAATCTCGTGCCAGATAGAATTGATTTGGACAAGCGCATTTATAGCTTGGTGCTCCTTCTTCAATGTATCCTTCAATGTTGAGATAGGTCGATTCGGCTGGTGGTGCCAACAAACACAAATGTGAACATCCTCCGTTCGAATCACCGCATGGATTTGTGTATGCAACTTGTCTCAATGGATGATGCACATGAATGTCATACGGTCGATGTGTTGTGTTTCTCAATACTTGTAGTTCTTTTCCAGTGAATTTATTTGCTCGCATAATTGCTTTCAAATTCCAATCGGTCCAATAGAGCATATCATCGAATAGTGACAAAGCGAAAACATGCGGAACCTTAGTACCAGACATGACAATGTGTCGATGACGACCCTCCAAATCAGCGAACGCAATGTAATCCAAATGAGCGTCAGCCCAATAGATGCGATCGGTGAAGAAATCAATAGTTAAAGCATTTGGCCAGGCGATATCATCTTCCCATGTCAAAATTCGTGTGAAATTCGAACCATCCATTCCCATTTTGGCAATGTATGCCTGCAAGTGCCATGATGTAAAGTACAAATATCCGATACCTGGATGCACAACAATGGCACGAGGATCAACAATTCCACTGCGCAATGTTTTGCGTTTTGTTCCATCCAATTCGGCGACGTCCAAATTCTTTGAGTGTCGATCAAGCCAGTACAATTTACGACCCACCCAATCAACCGATATACCCTCTAAGCCATGCGAATCATGACGAATGACCGGCTCTTTGGTTGGTATCTCTTCGGAAGCGGGATCGATGGTTTTCGAACGGAAAATTGTCTTTGCCGTTACATCACAGAAATACATGTAATTTTCTTTGATATCAAAATCTAATGCAACCACATTCATTAAATCTTGATGCACCAAATTCATTTGATGACCATCCGCTGACATATTTCGCAAATAATATTTATTTGTAAAAATAACCCATGGTTTGGTGCTGTCTTTGCGTTTGCATGTATGCTCATCAATTTGACGCTCATAGTATCGTTCATCACATTTACAATAATAGCCGCCTGGTGTGTTGGAACAGTGCTGTGAACATACGCCTGGCGTTTCGAGACATTCGTCTATATCAGCACACGCTTTACCATCAGCAAGTAATCTGTTTGCATTTCGGAATGGAACAGAGAAGACGCGGTGAGAAGACGAAAATAATTTATGATCGTCAATTGCTAAAACTTACTTGTATCCTTGATTACAATCGCAGAAGTAACCAGTGAGCGTATCAACACATTTGTGTCCACATTGATGAATTTCAACTTTAGCACATTCGTCCACGTTGCAATGAAGCGGCTCATCCGATTCATCGGAACAATCGGCAACTTTGTTGCAAACAAGTTGATAATCGATGCATTGACCATTGTTGCATGTAAATTGTCCAGTCACACATGTGCTATTATCTTTCTTCGAACAACCCACTTCATCACTTTTATCGCCACAATCTGAATGAAAATTTGAATAAAATGTTGAAAAATGTCACAAGCAGGCATTAAAAAGCAAATAATTACCATCTTCTCCATCACAGCGATACTGCGAACGAATACACTTGAAGTTTTGGCATGTGAATTCATGAGGTGAACATGTTTTGTATTGTGAATTACAGAATTTGCCTTCGTCACTGCATTTGCAAAGAAGAAAATCAAAAATTATTAATAAAATTCCAAAATGAATCACAATTTTTAGGCAATTCTCTAGTAAAGAATGGAGTGAATAACTTACCTTCCATCACCCTGTGATCGTTTGAACATGAAAATAGAAGAATAGTAAAAAATTAAATATTTGAAGAAAAAAAAATCAAAAAATTAAGATAATAACAAAATACTTACACAATCGTTATCGTGGTCTGATGTTTTTCAATTTATTTCAAAAGATATGCAAGCACATTTGAAAAATGAAAGAATATAATTAGAAACAAAAACATTTCAATGTATACATGTATAGTGGCACCATATAGCTTCTAAATTTGGCATTTCAAAACAAGAGTAATTTCAAAATTGTCCCAAATATGTAAGGAGAACCATTTCCAAATTCTTGAAATCTCCAAAACAGACAGCTATATGATGCAAACTAGTGAAAAAATCAAGAAATGATAAAATTGGTTATAAAAAAGCTTACCGCACAACCATCCTTTGTTGATACAGCGTCCATTTTCGCATGTAAACATATCTTCACCGCATGGCTGTGGTGTGGCACAATGATGGAGCGTCACATTTTCATCAGCTCCGTCAACGCAATCAGGATCTTTATTCGAAAACAAATAGATTGTTATTGTTAAACATCATTCATTGCAAAATCATATGAATTGACACAAAATGAGCGTTATTCGCTTTTTAATTTACTCACCGCCTAAATATTGCCGGAAGACAAACGATGAAAAGATGGAATAAAATGAGAAAGAATTACGATTAGAGCTTATTTAATTAATTTATTACACTTTTTAAAAAAAATCAAATTCATGTTACGAAAAAAAGAAACAAAAACAAATGTCAATTTACTCACCATCTAAATGGTCATCAAGCAGTTATTGTAGGGACCAAATGTGGATGAATAAAAAACGTATTCAAAAACACAAAAATTAAATACATTAGCAATCGAAATTATATGCGTGACAAATAGTGTTTAAGTAATAATTTACCGCAAATCCATTTCTTTGGAATACATTGTGATCTTCCCCAAGCTTTATTTTCATCGCATGTAAACTCAGTTTCTTCGTCACATTTGCGATTGTCTATTGAAATAAAAAACGATTATTTAATATCCTTTTTATGATTTAATGTGAAGAGATATAGATACTCACTGCATTGATGACGATCATCTTCATCGCTGTTATCCAAACAATCTAACAACGAAAAAACCAAGTAAATAATGTAACATTGCATACTAATTCAGTCATACTTACCATTATCACCATCACAAATGTAAATTCGTGGTATACAATTGCCATTGTCGCAAGTAAAGAGATCACCGAAGCATGTTCGACCTTCAGATTCACAGTATTCTGGCGGTTCATCGGCTGCATCTCCGCAATCTATGCGATAAAATAAAAAACATTGATTCAATATGTCCATTTGAAAAATGAGAGAATAGTAGGAGTACACACCATCATCTCCATCACAATACCAAGTGGCCGGGATGCATCTATGATTTGGACATCTGAAACTGTTCTGTGGACAGGTTCGTTGAGCACAATGCAATGGATCTTCGTCTGAATTGTCACCACCTGCAAACAATGAGAAAAAAGCGTGTTTGTTGAATCTGCAACAATAAAAGGGATCTAATTGAAATTACAATCATTGTCGCCGTCACAAAGCCAGTATGGTTCGACGCAAATGTTGGTTTTCTCGCATTTAAGATGATTTGGTGGACAAGTAGTGTTCTGTGGACAACGTTCGTGTGTTTCATCGGATGTTGCGTTGTCTTTGCAATCGTTAACGCCATTGCAAACTTGTGATTGTGGGATACATCTGCCGTTGAGACATGTAAATTCACCATCGACACAGGGTGGATATGTGCAATTTTCCTCATCCGATCCATCTTTACAATCTGCAATTTAAAACGAAAAAAAGGTTATTGATGTGCGATTTTTCGAAGAAAACATTACAAACCGTTTTCGTGATCACAACGCCATGAATTGAAGATACAACGTCCGTTTTTACATCGGTATTCGTTTGGTGAACATGAATGGAATGTGCAGTAGTTCTTATCTTCGTCACTGCCATCACCGCAATCGTCGTCGTTATCGCTGAAAAAAATGAATAATGATTAAATTGTTATAAATTTGGTTTATTTCTTTTCATTAATCGAGAAAATGTTACTAATAAAATCAATATGCAACTTACCAAGCCCACATTCTTGAAATACATTTGCCATTTTTGCATAAGAATCGACTTTCATCACATGTGTAGTTCTTGGATACGCACATTCGTCCTTCGTTGACCAATTTCGAATTTTCGTCACATCTACATTCAGCTTTGCCATTCATGCCCGGATGACAGCTGTGTGTGCATCCACCATTATTTTGTGCACATGGATTTGCTTGGCATTTTTGTCGTGACGTACTATACACTTGAATGTCGCGTGGTGAATCATCGAGCCGTTTTACCATTTCAATCATATTAGCACCAGTATGTTTTTCAGCTAAAAATCGATATACAGATATGTAAAACTGGTGCATCGAATAAAAAATAAGGTTTATCTTAACACATACCTCGATAAACACCGCGCAATTGTAAATCGGTCCAATAAATATAGTTTCTAAACACGGTAATAGCAAATGGATAAATGGTGGCAGCAACTAAAACTTCTCTACCCTTTCCATCCAATTGTGATCGTTCGATTTTCTCACGTACCGCATCTGTCCAATAGAGCATGCGTTCATCATAATCAATGGTCAAACCGCTCGGTTGTGACAAGTCACGATCGATGATGGCTCGTTTCAACGAACCGGCCATTGTTGTTTTGAAGATTTTGCCGCTCGTACCAAATCGTCCCCAATCGGTAAAGAACAATGTACCATTGCATGGATCTAAAACGATAGCACGTGGACGTTCAACTCGTGCAATCATCACCAATTCGCTGCCATCCAAATTCATTGCATAAATCGAATTATTTGAACTGTCTGTCCAATAGACTTTTTTCTGTGTCCAATCGTAGGCAATACCCTCTGGATTAATTCCTTTGCTTATCACCGGCACAATATTACTCGAAGACGGTTGTGCTGCACTTGCATATGCAATCTTTGCCCATGGACGGATTTGTGTAAAGAATAATTTATTGTCTGCAAAATCAAAATCGATGCCAACAACATTTGTTAAATTGCTGACCGGTTTAAATGGAACATTTGTTGAACGCGGATCTAAGCTAATGGCTCGAATTTCGGTGCGTGTAGCAAATACAAGGTACTCATCAACAATATCACATTTTCGGTTATCTTGTGCCAAAACACCGGTCGCACATTCGCAACGGAAGTTTGGCCGAGACGATGATGGCGATGCATCCGGCGGAAAACTGAAACACAATTGATCACAACCACCATTGCCATATCGTAAGCATGGATTATTCTCATCGGTCGGTTGATTGTTTATATCATAAATGGCAATGTCACGTAATTTCTCCAAATTGGTTCGTACTTTTGTCGGTAGCGTGGTGTTTCCGATGAGTTTTGATGCTTTGAAAACGGCTTGTAAATTACGATCAACCCAATATACATCGCCCAAATGAATGGCAATGCCCATTGGATTCGGAAGATTACCGCGAATAATTTGACGATTACCACCGGTGTACGAAATCTTTTGAATCATATCCAATTTTGAATCGACCCAATACACATCGTGCGTTAACATATCAACGGTTAAATCGCGTGGATTTGAAATTCCCGATGTTACAATCGGTGTCCAATTCGAACCGTCCAAATAGGCTTTTCCAATACGTGGATATTGTCCGTAATCGATCCAGTACAAAAGTCGTTTTATTGGATTCACAGCCAATTCACGTGGTGCATCGCTGGTTGTCTTTACAATTACCTTTCGATTGGATCCATCAACCCAACAAACTTCAACGTAATTTTCATGCGGGAATACATTTGTGAAATATAAATTGCCGGCAATCCAATCGATGGTGAGACCACGAATGCCATTGCTGCCAATGCCATCTTTGATAATGTGTTGAATTTCGGTGCCATTCGGTCTAATTCGGAATATTCCATTCCAATGGCCACGATTGTATTCCGCCCAATAGATCCATGAATCGCGATAGATAACATCGACATGTAAAATGTGATGACCGGGACCAGCAATTGGCTGCATCGCATCGGCACTATCTTTCAAACTGTAACCACGTGTAACATCCAATTGTGATACAACCGCAAATGTTTTGTATTGAACGCATGCCATTTCATCGTCTTTGCGATAGCCCATGCCGCACAAGCACGTTTTCAAGCCACCCTCTTGTGGTACACAAATGTGTTCGCAACCGCCGTTATTCGATTGACATGGATGCAGCATTGTTGAACGTTTCTTGAATACTATCATTCCCTTCAAATCCGCTTCATTGTCAATGATTATTTTGGCATTTTCACCGTTGGGCAAATCGACGCGAACAATTTTCTCATAAACTGGATCGAGGAAATACAATCGAGACTCTAAAACACCTAAACTTCTTGGCCGAGCAATGTGGTCCTTTTCCTCGAGCAAAACCCGTTTATTCGAACCGTCTGTATTGACTGCCATAATAGTAGCTGGATTTTGTGTGCTGTAGTAAACAATCTTGCGATCAGTATCGACGGCAATCGATTCCAGATGATCGACATTTTCGACTAAAATTATTGGATTCGAACCGTCCATATTGGCTCGTGCCACTTTCGATGGCACACCCGAACCACCATCATCAATCCAATACATTTTTCCATCATTTGGATCTAATGCAATCGCCTTTGGTCGACCAACTGATGTCTTATTTCCGTTGTTTGCAATTAAAATTGTACGATGTTTTACTTTGCCATCAACGCGAATGATTTCAATGTTGCTTGCCATACGATTACCAATAATCAAATTGCGTCCCAACCATTCGAATGCAATTACATATGGTGCACCAACAATGCCGGTATCGGCTCCAAGGAAATCAGTCTTGTTTCCACCACCGTATGGTGTTGCATAAATTGTACAATTCTCATCGTCTTGTTCGCCACCCTTGCTTTGTACCCAATACAACATTTCACCCTTACGATCGAAATCTAAAACGATTCCACCATCGATTCCAACAACTGGCGTTAATGCTCCGGCTCTTGCGTCGCCACCATTCAATGGTACATCGACAATTTGATTGCTCTTCAGCACCATCAAATACGAATTCTCCTCTTGCAAACATTTTCCATCTGATTCCAATAGACGATAGCCTGGTTTGCACTTGCATGTGTAGCCGCTCTTTGAACTTGGACTGAGCAGGCACATGTGCGCACAATGTGCATTTTCACATGGATTTGACAAAATCGGTTGCAACGATGGATGATGCACATGAATCGAAAGTGGTTGTGAAATTAAGTGCGATACAACGGTTTGATTGTCACCTTTGAATTTGTGTGCGGATAAAACTCGATTTAATTGACGATCGGTCCAGTATAACGTGTCTTCAAACAGCGATAACGAATGTGGATGCAATAAATAATGACTGGATGCCAACACCTGTTGACGTCCGGTTCCATTGTAATAACAAAAATCGATGAAATCCAGTTTTGAATCGGCAAAGTAAACACGTTTTGTTGCCGTATCCAAAGTCAAACCATTTGGCCAATAAATTTTCGTATTAATGATTGTTTGTCGCATTGTACCATCCATACCGATACGTTCGATGCGTGGATTTTCACCCCAATCGGTCCAGAAAATCCATCGTGCACCCGGTGCTGGATCTAAGCACATGCCACGTGGTTGTGTAATATTTTCACGAACAAGCACCAAACGATTTGCACCCATTTCGCTGCACACTTCAATCGTATTCAATTTACTATCCAACCAATACAAATTCTGACCAATCCAATCGTATGCAAGACCTTCAACCAAATCCAAACCAGTTGTTATGATGTCAATTGGTTCCATGCCACGATCCAAACGTGAAATTTTTTTCAATTTCATATCACTCCAGAATATGGTGCCGGTTCGCATATTTGATGCGGTTGCCACAACATTTTCAACAATAATTGGTACACGTTCCAGGCCTTGCTCTTTCAAATCGGCCACCAAAATCGAATGACGATTTGATATGATCAAGAATGCGGCTGTATGATTCACAGCTTTACACGAATGCTTATTTGGTTCCAAAATATAACCATCGACACATGAACAGAAGTAAGATCCTTTGGTATTCGTACATGTTTGTGAACACAAACCAGGCGGATCACATTCATTCAAATCTTTACATGTGTAGCCGTCAGTGCTCAGCTCTTCACCCGGTGGACATATGCACAATGCACCGTTTGGCGTTTTCTGACATCCATTCGAACATAAACCGGATTGATGTTGACATTCGGCTAAATCACAACCAGGACCTTCATCAGCACCGTTTGGACAATCATAGATTCCATCACAAACCGATGTCATATTCACACAGCGACCGGTCACATTTGGACACAACCATTGGCCGGTTGGACATCTGAACGGAGGTGGTACGCATGCATGTATCGAACTTTCGTCACTATTATCACCGCAATCATCCTTGCCTGAATTTGAAAAAGAAACACAGTTATGGCACAGTAATTCAAATTGAAATAAAAAATCTACATACCATCACAAACATACGCTTTGAATACGCAATTTGAATTATTACATTTGTAGAAATTGGTTGGGCATGAGATTGTACCACATTCTTCTTCATCAGAATGATCGTCGCAGTCATTTGAACCTGTTCGAAATCGATTAAATTATTGAATACTTGTGGAAAAAAGTGGAAGAAAAAAGAGTTCTCACCATCACAATGCCATGAAATTGGTATACAAATACCAGACGATTTGCATCGGAAGTGTTTTTCTTGATTACATTGATTCGGTCCCATTGATGGACAACCCAATTCATCGCTACCATCGTTACAATCCGGTATGCCTGTTTAAAAAAAGCAAAAAATTAATGCAATTAGTTGTGCTCAATTTAATATTATTTAAAAAAAACCGGTAATTACCATCGCATTTATATGATTCTTCTACACATTGCCGCAGGTCAGCACACTTAAACTGATTTGCTAAGCACGATATCGGCGGACAATCTTTTTCATCTTGTTTGTCAAAGCAGTCTGTAAATATATTATGCGGAAATTGAAATCTCATTCCAGAAAAATTAGAGTAATTAAAGTGATTGATATATATTACCATCATCGCCATCGCAAACCCATGACTGTGGTATACAGTGTCCAGTTCGCGGACAAGTAAATTGGAAGTAAGCACACGTTTTTTCAGCGCAGAAATCACCTTCGTCAGAGCTGTGATCAAATCAAACAAATATTAAAATAATGCTTCGCATACTCATTTCGATGTAACGGTACAAAACATCGATTAAAAAAGTTCAAATAAAAACAAATATAGAACTTACCCATCGCCACAATCGTTTTCGCTGTCTGTTTTTTTTTAAGTTTTTTGGAAAAAAGTGAAAAAAAATTAAATTAAAGCATGGTTCCAAATCATAATCAAATTGATTAAAAAAAATTATATACATACCGCAACGCCACATATTTGGAATACACCGTCCATTAGCACAGGCAAATTGGGACGCGGCGCATGTAACATTTCCACATTCGAATTCATCAGAATGATCACCACTAAAAAATTTATAGAAAAAAAGTGAATGTGCATTCCGAATTTATACGTTCTGCATGAAAAATACTAATCATACCAGTCATTTTCTTGATCGCAACGGAAACTCAATGGTATACAACGTCCCGAATTACATTGGAATTCGTTCGATCCACAAGTTGGCTCTGTAAAAATGTAAACAAAAATGCGATTAGTATGCTCATTTCACACACTGGGCCCACCATTTCTCTCTTACTTGTGCAATTATGTTCTTCGTCTGAGTTGTCGAGACAATCTGTTTGAATGAAACGCATAAGCAAATAATGAGCTTAGAAACTGAAATTGTATACGTATTGAAAAAGCTGTAAGTGTAAAACTTACCATCATCTCCATCGCATAGCCATGATTTTGGAATGCAACGTTGATTGTTGCACGTGAAATCCCATGAGTTTGGACATGCAAGTACCGGTGGTTCGGCATTTGGATCGGGTATACATGTTTGTCCGTCATCATTAATTCGTTCACCATACGGGCATGCACATTTCACCGTCAATAAATGTGATCCATTCACTGGTACAGCAAAGCAAATTTTCTCACAACCACCATTGTTAATGGCACATGGTTGTGTTGCTTCAACCGTTTGCACCGAATAGCTATACACTTTAACGCCATACAATCGATTTGTTTGTGGTTCTCTGACCATAATTTCTTCTTGTTCGCCGGTTAATTTATGCATGCGAACGATAGCATCGAGTCGCCAATCAGTGATATACATCCATTCTTCGTGTATTACAATTGAGAATGGGTGTCTAATTAAGCGTGAATTAACTGTTTTAATATCGGAACCATCAAGATTTGCATGTTGTACATGATCTAGTAAAGCATCACACCAATAAACTCTGTCCTCTTTAAAATCAATAGACAAACCATTTGGCCATCCCAGTGTTACATTCTTGAATACTAAAATGCCACTTCCATCGGCATTTGCACGTGTTATATTGGCCGGTCGATCCCATTCGGAGAAGAAAATATATCCTTTATTTGGATGCACCACAATAGCACGTGGTCTCTTTAAATTTTTCAATAATGTTCGACGATATGTTACATTCCGTGTGGACAGTACATTCAATGTACCTTTACGACTGTCAATATAATACAAATTCTTTGATGCCCAATCAACGGCCAATCCTTCGACGCCTTCATTTTGTGAGGCCAAAACAATTTCACGGCCGGTTCCATTGCGATGTACACGATAAATAACATCTTGTAATACATCCGAATAGTAAATATGTTGATCACGTGCATCAAAATCAAGACCAACAAAACGAGCACGTCGTGAAACAACCGGTAAAATAGCATCGCTAAAACCTTCGATAACCGGTTCCAGCACTTTTCCTTTGATAAAACGTTGTTGGCTGTACATTAAAAATTCACCAACCAAATTACAATTTCTTAAATCGGCGGTTAATTGATGACCGGTGTGACAAGCGCAACGATAGCCCAAACCAGTTGGTGCTCCTTTCACCGCTGTTACAATGCACATTTGTTGACAACCACCATTATTATTACCGCATGGATTTGAAACGCGCGGCTGTAAAAATGGATGAACGGCGATAATGGCTTTTGGTTCGCGAATATCTTTCGACTTGAAAATCGATTGAATGCTTGAAGTGCCTTCGAATTTATCAACTGACATAATACCTTGTTTTGTTGCATCCGTCCAAAATACACGATTTTCAAATAGACCCAAACGACTTGGGCTCGGTACATTTTGACCTCTTAAGATCATGACACGGTGTAAACCATCATAATCAACCGTTTCAATGTAATCTAGTAATGAATCACACCAATAAACACGTTTTGCGATAATATCAACAGCAACACCGCTGGCTTTGTAAGCGGCTTCCGAAACAACAGCTCTGGCATGCGTTCCATCCATATGGGCACGCAAAACTTGTCCACCATCGGCAACAAACATTAAACCAGACGTTGGATCCAACGCTAAATCGGCCGGACTGGTTAAATTTGAACCCAACACAACGGCATGCCATTTATTGTCCAATTCAAATACGTCGACTTTTTGTCCAATGAAATCGGCCACATAAAGCTTATCGCCGATCCAATCAACGGCCAATGCAACTGGTGCCCATGTTCCAGGTAACGATAAATCCGTACCACCAAAACCACCTTCGTTCAATGGCATCGACTGGACTTTTCGCGTTTTTGTGTCCGACCAAAACAATAAATTTCTTGCACTGTGATACGCAAGACCACTGGCTCCCGTTGCATTCACAATATTTCGAGCATCTTGCCCGTGATTTGACATTCGTATAACGGCATTATCGTGGGCAAAAATTAATTCCAAACCACTTGAATTCGGTGCACCGCATCGAGATTTATCGACCAATGTATAACCGGCCGCACAAGAGCATGTATACGAACCGTCTGTATTTGTACAAAGCTGATCACAATGACCCCATTCGGCGCATTCATCCAAATCGGTACAGGAACGATTATCGCTGGCCAACGATTGGCCAGGCGGACAATAGCAAACGCCACCGGTTAACGATGAAGCACATTTATATTCACAACTCAATGATACACAGGCCGTTTGTGCTGCACAAAAGAAATGAAGAAAAAACACACACACGATGAGTAAATAAAAATACATTGTTGAAACACACACAAGATCTTTTTGAAGTAGTAACATTTTGCTACAATTTAATTTTATGAATAAATTTAATTAAAGATAGAAAATGTAAAATTTTAAACTTACAGCAAGCTGTTTCTTCATCACTATTATCCTCGCAATCCTGATAAGAAAAGAAGAATGCAATCAATGAAATTGAAAAATTCAATGCGAAACATATAAAACTGTTCAACATCCACTAAGCTCAAGCGCTTTAAGGCAACAATACTAAGAGGGATGATTTATACCTGTTTTCCGTCACAAAGTGATGCTTTTGCGATACATTTTGGTGCGCCATTTGGACCACCTCGTGGACACAGGAACTTATTATCTGGACACGCAATTGCTGTGCAATTTGCTTCATCAGACTCGTCACTGCAGTCATGGTAACCATCACAGTGAAACGTTGCCGGAATACACAAAGCGTTTTGACACCGGAACTGCACAATAAAATACACACAAAATGAAACATTAATTAAGCTTAAGCTCAAGCGCCTTAAGGCAGCTACTATACTAAGAGAAATGATCTATACCTGTCCTCCGTGGCATGGCGGGAAGTCTGCAAAATATGCGTTAAATATATTAAATAAGAATTCGTCTATTAGTCATTAAATTTATCATCATCAAAAGTGATTTGAGTGTTTGGCCGGCGATGATTCTTTTCAATTTGGGAAATGTTGACTTTGAAATGAGATTTTTCACCGAAAACCTACATTTTATCTATACTATTTTTTTAACGCTTGATTACACTAACATTGCTACATTGATGCGTGTTTATATGCATTTTACATGGAAATAATACGAGAAAAGGATACGCTTTTAACATCCTGAGCGAAAAGTCTCTAAAAATAAGTTTATTGCGTGCATTGTGCATCACATACATACGGATTCATAAGATAACGTTCGTTTCAACCCATGGAGAGAGTACAAAAGAAGAAGTGAGAAAGAAGACAAAAAAAGCATATCGGTAAAGCTCTGTTGAATGTGGCTAATAAATTTTAGAGATTTAACATTAAAAAGCAGTGAATGTCACCGGTTCAGTGAGTTTGTAATAATAAAAAATTATATGGAGATTTTGGCAACAATTTATGAAAATACAATAAAATATGACACAATGTATATCATATAGTAGGGGTAAAAAAATACGGTCATAAACATCCACGATGGAATGGGCACTGAAATTTAATTGAACAGAAAGTGATAAAAGCGTAAAAGGATTATGTCATCATGAAAAACCGACAATGGATGTAATGAATTTTTAGCGCGATCAAAGTTCGCTCAAAATTGAGTAGAGCTTTTTAAAAAAAGTGTTCCAATTTTGTTCGTGCATTCAATTTTTATGGGATCCGTCTTCTTTTCTTCGTCGTGCGCTTTTTGATTAAATCTTTGAATTGAAGAGATTTCTTCTTTTGATGGACGAAACATGCGAACTTTTTATTTACTTTGTAAAGGGTAAAGCGTGCAAGAAAAAAATGGAAATTGTTAACTTACTGCAACCCTGTTCGTCACTATTGTCATCGCAATCGGATTTGTGATTACATTTTAACGCGTTATCGATACATTTTTTCCCGTCAGCACAGCGGAATTGATCCAAACGACATCTTGCGCCGGTACATCCGTCCTCATCACGACCGGTACGACAATCCAGATATCCATCGCATTTTTTCTCTTTTGGCACACATGGATCGGCCGAATAACCATTCTTACTCGACGTCGAACTCGGCAAACCGCAGTGAATGTCATCCGCTTGGCAATTACGATATGCTGTAAAATTGAAAAATGAAAATATAATATCAAATAATAGAGAATTTTCGGTGGATTTTGATAAATTAAATCGGTTTATATTTTTGTTTTTAAAAAAAGCATAACTAAAAAGAACCAGTCTGATCGAAATCGGCGACTTTTTTATTCTTTTATTTTTTATTTATCTTTGAGTACATCACTCGAATCAGACTTGGACTGAATGGGATCATTTTCGAAATGTTATGCATTTTACGAATTCCAAGACTATTGATTTGAATAGTTACACAGTGTGCACTGTGTAATCTACACCTTACAAATTTTATAAATATTTTCTCGAACCGAATTCCAAATATGATAGCGGTATGACAGGTATATGTTCCCGATCAAAATTCTCAGAATTTGCATGACCAAATTGAAATTGGTGTCACCTTCTGGTTGGATGCTTTAGAAATAAATTTTATGACGATACATCTCATGTGAATCAAAAATTATTTACTGTTTGCCATAGTCAACATGCAGTAAAGCTCGTCAACAATTTATAAGTATGGACGAAGTAAAGTTTATCGTTTGGTTCACCAAAAAAGTACATAAGTGTGCTACGTAACAAGCAAATACGATCATTGCAAGAAATGTGCATCGTCTGCAATTGTTTTTATAGTTGTCAAAACACTCATGACCAAATAAACTCGTCCAGGGTGAAATATCGAACGAAGGGATTTACCAAGTTCACATTTACATTTGACCCAAAGAAATAATGTTTCATTTCAAAATTTCACCATTTTCACAGCCCTACAAACTATCTGAAATACGTTCACATTTAATAATAAAACATTCTACACACACATACCCTGTACTCAAATCGAAAACAATGTAACCTAATTAATTCAACATTCTCTCCATTTCCGTAGCGATGAAGAAAAATTAAATAATAGATTGGAATTTATCTTTGCTATATGAGCATATACCCGGCATATTTGGCATGTAATTATTTGTGGTTTGTATTTATTTTCCATCCGAAAACTTCAAAAGTAGAACAATTTTATTAGAGTTTTGGTGTTGGCTTAACAATAATCTATAATAACTGGAGGATTCAAAATTCATAAATGTATGTATTTTATGAAATCTCCAAACAATTTGTTTAGGTTTCGATCGTATTAATAATGTAGCTGTCGCACAGTAAGTGAAAGAGATGGAGAGTTTTCTTTTTTTTCTATTTGGTGTACCAGTATTGCACCTTTCCGTCAGGTTTTTTGGTTAAAAATTAGTCATCTCGAAGTTTTTATGTGTTTGAAATGAATAAATGGTATTCGAGAAATTTTTGGTTTATTTATTATTATTTATGTACTTTGAAATGCAAATTTCATTCGATTTAGTTAATTACATGCGCTCTGTTTAAATACACTTGGGTTTTTATTGTATATGTACGTCTCTCTCAATACTTGTACAATGAGAACTAGAACAGTCAAAAAAATGACAATGCAAACAAGTTCACATAACGCAAAAGCACACAAACAAATTACACATTGTCCAACTCTGTTTATTCTTTACTGTCCAAAACAAAACCGACAACAAAACGCACAAACACACATGCACGAAACTCATTCACAAACTTTTCACTGAATGCTCCGAAGTTTTCAATGCAATGCTCCTTCGTAATGAAAGCATTTTACAAAATAATGTTGATTTGGCTTCGGCACAGTTAAAAACCAGTTTCAATTTTGGAATTCTGTCCACCAACACATACGCAACATTTTGAAAATAAAACAAATTTCAAAGTTTTATGCCATGCTTTTGAACACCTTTTTCTGCTCCTTTTTGACACTTCAATCGCAATCGCAATAAACTATTTCGCCCTTCAATAAATGAATTTCACGACAATCATTTCAATTTTAAACATCGATAATTTGATCAAAATATGCCACTATCTATAAAAAGTTTTATTTGAGTAAATTAAATCTGGTGCACCAGATTCATGAAAAACGTTGATTGCAATTCAATCGTTATTGAAGTTTTTTAGTTATTGGCAATAACACATATACCATTTATTGAGTAATATGCGTGTCAAAATGAGGTTGTAACTATTCCATTTTATTTTGCGCAATTTTCCATCATGAAATAGAGTGCGTTGCTGAAAAATGAATGACGAGCGAAGCAAAGAACAGGAAAAAGATGAATTTTCCATATTTTAGCAATAAGAAGCTTATAAGGTGCACTTAATATGTCTATTTGTCCTGTGTTGTAGTTGCTCTGTGATTATGATTTTCATCTACAACTATAAATGGTTAAGTAAAAATGGACCGCATAAAATTCAACCGAATTGACTTTAATCCCAAATGCATGCCAATTTATGATGAATGTTTACTTTCGAAGAATTGTTGTTGAACAGCAAACAGGAATTTCATGTTATAAACTTTTATCCAAACTTCTTTTACTTGACTAATATTTGGTTGGGCATTTGTAATAGTGGTGTGCCAATGGGAGGAAATGACAGCAAATTTTAAAATTGGCGCACTCTTTAGTTTCGATTTGAGTTGTTGAATTACATTGACGTCCCCTTTGAAATTCTGGGCGCCACCGTCGGCTCAAAGAGACTTGAAGTCTTCACATCCTCTCATTGTGGTGTGCCAACATAAATAAAACTCAAACAAAAACTTAATAACCGAGAAATATGATTAAATTGGAAAATTGTTGGGTGGAAAAACTTTAAATTCCAAATATATTGACATTGATACTAATTCCGATGAAACAATGAATTCAGTAATGGTATTGCATCCATTCAATTTAATTTAATTAACAATATTTTGATCGATTTGCAGTGCAATAAAATGATTATTTCCTCCGACGATTTTAATTCGACATGGCATGATCTTAGAATAGTGTTTAATCAGACATTTTCCGTCGTTGTGAATACGCCAAACAAACGAATAAAAAAAATTTCAAGAGCATGAGCATATTTGATTTGACGGCATCGTCATCGGCAATATGCGCGTCGTTAAGGCAATTAGGCGTTTCTCATTCGTGTGCAAAGTTAGCATCTTAAAAAAAGTTTCGTTCAACTTCTATAACACGATTAAACGTCGTTGTTTTTCACTTCATGTTTCGTCTTTGTGTATTTTGTTCTTTCGTTTGCCTATTTGTGTCTGTTGAGGCAACAGAGATGTGCTTATCCGTGTGCATTGAACGTATCAAAGGAACACGAACTGGAACGACAAGAAAAACCCTCCGAATTGGAAAGCTCAACAATATTTTTTTTTGGCAAAAAATCGTGCAGTCATTGTACGCGAAAAAAGAACGGTGATGGTGTTTATAGCATATATCACGTGACGTTGTGTTCACAAGCCGAATGAAATTTCAGCCGAAAAAAACTGCTTAATGAGAAAATTACAATGTGAACAAAATGCGTTTTCATGCTTCTTTGCTTCGTGTTATAACTCAGGCGAAAAATGGTCGACGAAATATACTGAGCAAGTAAAAAAGCTCACAAAATCCGCCAACGATTTACAAGTACGTCGCAACGCAATGCAACCGAAGGAGTATTATTTTTATAAGATTTTATTTGAAAATCTGGTAAAACGATTCGCATTTTAATGTAAAAGCGCTCTTTAGTTAATGTTGCAAGCGGATAAATTTGATTTTGAATTTCACTTAAAAATTTTCTCATAAATTTCGGTTCAAAAGAAGAACATTTTATGGAAAGAGTACATACAAAGCGAGCACAAGTCACCGCCTTCGTCATTTCTCGTCTTTGATTGAGAGCCAAATGACGGCTTACAGCACTTTGTGTTATCCATCGCTAATGAGAACGCTTATACTTTGTAGTTAATACAGTATAGTTTTTAACCGAATTTACATTTATGAGCATTCTTAATTACTACATCAAGCAGTGCACAAGTGCCTTTGGCAATAATTATACGTATACCGGCACATGAATACATATCCAACCGCAACACATTCATTTTATATTCGTTTTTATGGCATCTTTTTTCGTAAAATATTTAGTTTGTGGGTGGATGAAATGAATAATTTTTGTAAAATCTTTAAGTAAAATATCTACTTACTACAATCCTGTTCGTCACTTCCATCTGAGCAGTCGACCACGCCATCACAGCGATAGTGTGGTGGCATACAGTATGTCTTATTAAATATATATTGTCCACAATTTATTTGACCAGCATCACATTCAGGTGGGGCTGAAACGAGAACAAAAGAACATCATCGTGATTAAAAATGTAGAAATTCGATTAGAGTATTGCAGTCATTTTTGGTTGATTCATTTAAGAAATGATTACGAATAAAGTTTACAACTTTTAACTTTTGGTCGACTTTCGAAAATTAATTTAAAATCGAAATTAGTTGTTCAAACAGCGCGTAAAACTTTTACGCTTCATGTTGAGGTCATGCTTAATTAATAATAAGCAGTCAAAAGAAGTGAATTCCCTTACAACGCACACACAAGCAGATCCAAAGAGTAAGAGAGAGAGAAAGCGGAAGATTAAGCAAGTTGTTCTATCAAAAGAACTCGATGTCTTTTCTCGATGGCAAATTTCATTTTCCAAACAAATGCGAAAAAGGCGTAAACAAAACAGCATGTATCCAAAAGTCATGCTTATCGCAAGCACGCGGTATTCTATGCGTTTGCGTGTGTTTTTTTTATCGTGTATTGTTTAACTTGTTTGTACAACAAAATTTCATATCGTCTGTACCCGTTTGTTCGCGCACCAAATGCAACTGTCTGCACTGATGTATTTGTAGCCGTTGCGATACCTATGAGCATTACGAGTGTAGTACGCGGCGTAAACGCACAGTGTGAGGGGGAAAAAGTTGATGAGAAAGTTAAAACATAACAACCAGAAAGATGCGAATAAATGGATAGTACGAATACGCTGCTGAATCGAGTCGAAAAGAAATCTAATTAAAAAACTTAGTCGCAAAAGGATAAAGTTGAGCGAACAAAAAATGATTGAAAAAGAGATAAACTAAAAAAAATGGGAATAAACATGTACGATGAACGATGAAAACACACTGTTACGAAAGAAATGGTCATGCAAAAGGGTATTTAAATGTGGACACACACAAAGGTGAATAGTAATGTGCCGCAGGCGATAGAAATTATTTGCCGCAACGTAATCGGACTTTTATTTCTCTCATTCTCTCCCCTCTCTGTCTCTTTTTTTCTTCTCCGTTGAATTATAATGATGAACAAGATTATGGCATAGCTGTATACAAGTCCTAATTAAACTTTTTAATAAATAATAGCATTTTGTAAATAGAATAAACAGCAAAACAACAAATAGAAACAATAAAATGGAAAATCATTGTAAAAAATGAGGATGAAAAAAACAAATAAAAAATGACGATACTTACGACACGATTGAAATTCATCTTCTCCCCACATACAATCTTTTTGATAATTACACACCCACAATGACGGTATACACGTACCCTCCCGGCATCGAAACATTCCAGTCTGACATGGCACTTCAGATATATTTACTGAAACAAAAAGAAAGAGAAAAACGAAAATTAGAGAAAAAATTCCAACCTCACTCATAATAATTCAAAAGAAATTTCCGGAAAATCCTCTTAGAAAAATTGGCACGAAGAAAATTAATCTCGTGGGTCACACGAATTTCCTTTTGTTATATTGGGAACCATTTGTAATTCGATGAGTATGCACATCAGTTTTTCTTATTGGTAAAAGAGTTGGTGTGCATTTTGTGTTGCAAAGTTTTGTGTCGAACCGGTCGCCGAGATTTGCTGCGGTTCAAAAAAGTTTGCCGCTTAAGTTAATGAAAATTGGAAAAGCACTTGGTAATTTATCGCAAAGTACGGTTTGATAATTGAATTAAAATGGTAACAAATGTGGAAATGGCAATGAATATTCCATTCTCCGTCTCTTTAATCAAATCAATTTAAATTGATGGTGTTCTTTCATTACAACATAACTAAATGGTATATTTTGTGTAATTTACCGCTTATTATACAACTTTTAGCTAAACGAGATAGAGGGCCTTTTCCCCCATTTGATTTCATCACAAACTTAGCCAGTTTGTATGTGGTTTACGTCAAAAAAACTTTTACTTTTCTTAAGAAGCATATGAGTATTTGGATTTGCTGAAGCGATTCATGCAACAAGCGGATGTTGTCCATTATTGTATATCGATCTCTTCCGCCCTCTCCAAAACTTACATGAAACCATCAAACTTGCTTTGCGTTTGTTCGTTCATTTCAGAAACTTCTTTAATAAAAAGAAATGCTCCTTGTTCGTGTACATTAACTCGATACATTGAATATCTTTTGTACATAGAAAATCATACCAACATTCGACCACTTGAAAATTCGTAACATTGTGTACAACTTTCAAATACTTTTAACATTGGCAGCCTACAATTTGTGGTTCTACAACTAAAATTGAATTTTTTCGATAAAAAAAAAACTTTTCTATCTATATTGAATTGAAAGAGTGCACTGTCACTTACTCACTGTGTGCACTTTAGCGAGATACAGTATTGGCGTGGAATGTTTTTAACACTTTTGAAACACTTAAAAGTTTTTTTTTTTCGAATACATGATAGCGAGTGGTAGCGACAGCAATCGGATGCGATGCGTCGCACTTAAATGCCATTAATAAATCAAACAATATTGCTTTGATGTAATAAATATATACAACATGGCAGTTGCAAGCTGCATCTCATTTCTATGTTCATGCTCGAAATCGCATTACAAACAGAAACAACAACAAAAACTGACGCCAAACAAAGTTGAATAAAAAATGCAATCAACTTGTTCATTTTCTGCTCAAGACATCGAAACGCATTGATTAATGTCATTTGATGTGCGGTTCATCTGTTCGTGAAGTTTTTTTTTCTGCTCGGTGTGTGCGCGCACATTTGATATCATCATTATAACCGCATTTCACATTTATGAGATGTACCGCATTGAGGTATTCCAATCATACCAACGAAAATATAATCAACACACACACACAAACCCATCGCAAATGCTTATTTCAATAAATGTTCGTGTGCATCATGGATTTTTGCTTCATTTTTTTTCAATCCAGCTGTTTATCCTTTACTTGGTCCCTCATCAAAAATCCATCAGTGAAAATATCTATCTAGTTATGCACAGCACATCATAAACCAACTATTACCAACCACATTGTTACCACTTTCTCGGCATATCAAGAACCATTTTGGTTCGAAGGAACGATAGCATTCTCGACATCCTCTAATATGCAGATCGATGGTGAGGTTTTTTTTTGTGCTGACTTTAGAAAACCAGCCAACGAAAAACATATCGATAAACTCAACATCGGAAATTGATATTGATTCCATTTGGTATATTGCTTGAACATTTTCAAGCCAATATGTATATTGCGCTGAATATGTCACTCGACGCTATGCAATGTGCATATCCGTATCATTGCATTTGTACGCTTTTTCAACCACAAAAACCGTAACCCATATAATCCCCGCTTCTCCGGTTTGATACTAGACTCAATCTACATCGAATTATGAAGTCAGCTTGTTCAGCTCGAATCGGGCCAGCAAAAAAACTCTCCTACACACATACGTAAATATGTGTATTCGACACAAAATACAAGAAATTCAACATTTTTTGTACGTTTCACTAGATTTAAGCACAAACCTCATCGTTCTAATTGAATGTGAGTCGATGCCATTTTACATTCTGTGTTTTTTGCCAATAATTGCATTGCAATGCTCTTGGCAAATACTTCACTGCACTTCTAAATAATTTTGTGGTGTATGTTCAATGGAAAAATCCCATTTCAATTTGTGATTCAAGTGGAGATGAGAATGAGATTTTTCACAATTCACATCATGTACCAACTAGCTGTGCAGTTTCAACAATCATTGAGATGATGCGCAAAATGAATACAGAAAATCGTATCTATAAAATGCCATTTAGTTAATTCATCTTTTTAAAAAACACTATCATTTGCGCCGAGCACTTATTAAGATTGATAAACTACTGTTGAAATAATTGTAAATTGAACTGTGGCGGCCATGGTAAGAAAAAGCGTTGAAACAATGTGCCGAATGAATGATATACACACAAAAAGAGTACATTTCATTACTCATCGGAGCGAATAACAAGTTTGGAGAAAAATAGGCGCAAAAAAGCATCCAGCATCATATTTTTAATCGACATAACCGATATTCGGTCATAAAGAATCAGAATTCGCCACATACACGCATTTTAAATTTCACCAATAAATTTTTTGTACGCAATGGCGATGATATGCAAGCAAAATGTGTGAAGGAAAAGCCCAAACAACAACAAAAACACACGCCGCCACCAGTTCCGATAGTGATAGAATTTTTGAGATGAAAATCACCATGATCATGGTTCCGAATAGCCAGAGAGATAACTGAATATTTTATTTGGTTATTGACATGCTCATGACACACGACAATACGTGGTTTATGTGCTTGTCACGTTCATCTCTCTCTTGCTTTCTCTCAATGTAAATATTCCGTCTATCGACAAAACTAGTTGGCAAACATGAGCGGTGGTTAGTCAACAACATTTTGTTAAAATTTTGTTTTTCAAATTGACTCATTTTTTTCTCTTCTCAAAATAACAATGGTGAACGATTGAAAATTGGCCGCGTGCGTCGTCGTACCTATTGAAAAAAAAATTGGTTGAAACCAGCGAAAACAACGTTCCAACCGCATGGGAGCGATCAAAATAGCGACACAAAAAATTACCCGACATTCATTATTTTACAACCGATGGCCGAAAATAAAAGTCGAGATATGAAAAAAGGTGTAGTTGTGCATAAGAGTTGTCAAAAACTATGCGAACTAAAAAATTTAATCAGTTTGCAAGTGCTTTTAAATTTTTATCGCATGCATTGAATCTGTTATTCCTGATGCGTTCAGCTTGAAAGGTGTGTACGCCTCTCCCCCGCTCGGTCCTCGAATCGCACAGCGAACTACAATCGATGAGCAAAAGCTGTAAAAAGTTTGTTTGAAACGATTTACGAGTTTATGCCCTAAAGACACGCCAGCATGCTAACATTCTCTCATGCTCACATTTAATGTGCAACAATTACGCGAACTTTAATATGTGTACTGCAGAGATTTACCATTGTTGTTATTATTATGCATATATATCCCGTTCATTTTCGCTTCTGTCGTCCATTCTCGGTATTTTTCATTTGTGTGTCTATCTCATATGAGAAAAGTACACGGGTAACAAATCTCGGTAATAATGTATAGAAAAATTTCCTTTAAACTGGCATGTCGAAAAACTTTGGCTCGTAAACAAAACGATATCGTAAAAACCTATGGAATCTCTAAGCCAAACTACTCCTGGGCTCTCTCTCCCTCTCTCTCCGTTTCATGTATCATGTCATGATTTTCAGTTCGGCCGCCGCATCATGGAATATTGCCTTGAATTCTTTATATCCAAACGACCAAACGAGCTCAATCTCGGATTATAACGAGAACAATATCGTTGAATTTTATGCTCAAGTTTCAAACAGATATGATTCCAAAAACCGACCGGAATTGTTGAGCAAACAAAATGTTTTAATTTAGTTTTCGAGTTGGCATTGTGTGTATGTTGTTCGCATTATGCCCGATATCAAATGCGGATAGGCTAATCAACTTGGGAAAATAGCGAATCATTTCCCGTAATAAATTCCTGTTGACCGAGAATTGACTCGATGTCAACGAAACGGTGTAGTCATACTTATTTGAAATGCAGACGCGGTCTAATCGCAATATTCGGTGAACATCCACATTCGATGAAATGCAATATTAATTCAAAATTCTGGCTGAATATAAAGCAGCTTAGATGGCTTTAAAAAAGAACTGCCCGTACTCTCACCCATCGGCATTTTCAATGAGGTAAAGTTCTGATACTACAACAACGTTATTTATTCATTTTATCAAGTACTGCAGCAAATTGCAACACATTGATCAATGTGAAATGGAGAGACCCATCGGCCGTGCAATATCGATATATAAATTGAGAGCAGCATCGTTTTGTGATATGGCATTGTGTGTGACATGTGTTAGACGTATGTTGACTGTCCGGCAGTCAATCGTTTTGCCCACATTTTACAAAATGATTTATATCCATAATTTGCATATAAATGATGCACGGATACATAATCTATCTCATCTCAATGCAGATCATCATCGTCGACTTCGATACGGATTAGTTTGCACACATACACTGTCACAAATTGAAGTGTAATTAAAACATATCCTCCAATGCATCAATATTTTTGGCTTTTGTTCAAATTTTCTATGAGTTAAATTCAGTGTGGATGCGCGTTGATCAGAATTGCATTCGCCAAAACATTTTCAATGATAATTTCAGAATTTTCCATCAATACGATACACAGTGGTGCAGCAATGCGGGCTCAATGATTACAAACAGCTGCCGAGCACATAAATGTCGAGCGCCACGAAACGAAGAATAAGTCAAGCATTTGATTTTTACATTTGAATTTT